TAAAGAAATAAAACCTTTTTTTTTTTTTAATGCCTTTTTTTTCTTTCAAACAGCATTCTTTTTTTAAAAGATTTTATTTATTTAGGGGCGCCTGGGTGGCACAGTGGGTTAAAGCCTCTGCCTTCGGCTCCAGTCATGATCCTGGGGTTCGGGATAGAGCCAGCATTGGGCTCTCTGCTCAGCAGGGGGGCTGCTTCCTCCTTTCTCTCAGCCTGCCTCTCTACTGTGATCTATCAAATAAATAAATAAAATCTTAAAAAAAAAAGATTTTATTTATTTGACAGAGATCACAAGCAGAGAGAGAGAGAGGAAGGGAAGCAGGCTCCCTCCAGAGCAGAGAGCCCAATGCAGGGTTCAATCCCACGCCCCCAGGATCATGACCTGAGCCGAAGGCAGAGGCTTTTATCCACTGAGCCACCCAGGTGCCCCAAGAAATAAAACCTTAAAAAGATAAAAGAAAAAAACAAATTCAAGAAAAAGAATAGTCTAATTTTTCTCTCATTCTCTTTGCTAAGAAGCTACTTTGGAGCCCCTGAGATCTCAGAAGAGAAGAGCTACTGGCATGAAGACAAAATGAATATATTAGTTTTTCAAAGCAACATTTATTTTATCTCAGGGTCAGTACAAAAATACCTACTACTAAAAGCAGAACCATTTAAAAAATTTTCCAATGCTGAGTATAAGATTGTGGTTAAGAGCCCCTGCTGACTACTATTTACTGGGTGTATAATTCTGGGTAAATTATTTAACGTCCATGGGATTCAAGTTTTCTTACCACTAACAGGGGTGTTCCAATTCCTCTGACACCATTCAACAAAACAGCAGTAATTTGACGGAAGCACGTAAAGTGTTTTATTACTTATGCCAAGTACTACACTAAAGCCATTATCACTGTACCCTATTATACTTGGGACTCCAATGGGGGTTTTGTGCTTTGATTTTTAGAAAGGATTTAAGTTTGACACTAATTCTAAAGCCACCAGAAGTTCCTTTAAGGGTTACTTTTTTTAAAGATTTTATTTATTTATTCATTTGACACAGAGAGATCACAAGTAGGCAGAGAAGCAGGCAGAGAGGGAGGGAAGCAGGCTCCCCACTGAGCAGAGAGCCCAATGCGGAGCTCGATCCCAGGACCCTGAGATGGAGACCTGAGCCTAAGACAGAGACTTAACCCACTGAGCCACCCAGGCACCCCAAGGGTAACTCTTTAAAATGCGATCACCAAAAAGGCCACATTGTAGTGTATTCTGTTCACCAACAGTTTATCCCATTTCACCTGTCTCTTTACTGCTACTACTCTAATGCTTTTACAGAAATCAGGCATTAAAATTCCCATACACTTCATGAGATACTTGTGATGCACATCTTTAATTTTTTTTAAAGAATTTATTTGTCAGAGAGAGAGAGAACAAGCAGGGGGCGAGGCAGGCAGAGGCAGCAGCAGACTCCCAGCCAAGCAGAAGCCTGACACGGGAATCAATCCCAGGACCCTGGGATCATGACCTGAGCTGAAGGCAGATGTTTAACCGAATGAGCCACCCAGGCGTGATACAATCTTGAAACAGGATATTAAGGATGAAACCCTCATAAACTCAGAACAAAGAAATCTGAGTGCTAAGAAAGGAAAGGGTATGGTGGCAGCAGACCAACTTTCATTCTTGTAGGACATTGTTAGCAAAAGTGTAACGATTCTGTGTTCGTCCAAAATTCATGCTTCTATATTGTTTTAAAAATTATTAAATTCCAATTGATGTACATTTTCCCAAAGGTTGATTCGTGACTGACTCTCACACACCATTGATAACTAATGGGATCAAAACCACAAATTTATTAATTTAATATTTGAGGCATAAATTCTAGATGGTAAATGGAGACTGCTTTCTCTTCAACCCATAAATCTTCAATTGGCTGGCTGTCAAACCAAAGAGGACACTAACTTGCTTTCTGACAATTGTCAGAGAATGAGAATTTTGGAAACTGTAATTACAGTGAACAAATACGTTTTTCCTATAAAACTTTATATAAAGATCTACAGAAAATGTGGTAAAGACATTGTGAGTAACTAAGTAATCCTTTGAGCCACAGCAAATGATCCAGTACTATGATGGTATAGATCTCTTCCCAGATTAGGAACAGTTTCCCTAACCAACGCACATTCTCATGGAGAAGTCCAGGTACTTTAACAATTTGAGGAAAAGCACACATAAAAATGTTTCTAAGCATAATTTGAAGAATATTTAAAACAATTCAAGAGCAAAAAAAGCCATTTGCTCAGGTTTTGAAATTCAACATCAAATTTCATGTTTCCTACTCCAACTTATCTTTCTAAATGAGGGGTCAGCAAACTTTCCCATAAAGGAATAATTAGTAAATAATTTATGCCTTGCTGGTCTTATGTCAAAACCCTTCAGCACTGCCATTGTATTACAAAAGCAGCCAAACACCTTTGTCTGAGAATGGCTATTCTGTAAAACTTTATTTATAAGAATGGGCAGTGGGCCTTAGTTTGCAAACCTCTCATCTAGGTGATCTGCAGGTTTTGGATAAAATAAAAAATGAAATTATATGTTCAAAAAATTAGGAGAAAGTGTTTTCCTTTTATAGCTCCAATATTTAACAAAGTATGCACTTACTGTTCACCCTAAGGTTAACATCAAAACAGAGGTGCCTGGATGGTGCCTTAGTCGGTTAAGTGACCAACTCTTGATTATGGCTTAGGTCATGATCTCATAGTCATGAAATGAGCCCTAAACTGGGCATGGAGCCTACCTGAGATTGTCTTTCTTCCTCTTCCTCTGCCCTTCCCTGCCACACCCCCTCCCTCCTCCTGCAAGCTCTTTGCACCAAAAAACAAAAACAAATCCACCTTAAAACAACAACAAATTAGTCATGTTTAACACTTGAAGTTTTTTGGAAATATTTTATGAGAAACCATAAATGGGGGAGGGGGTGGCAGGAAAGAAAGAGCAGAGGGAGAGGGACAAATGGACTCTAGGCCAAGCGCAGAGCCCAACAGGGTGCTCAACCCATGACCCTGAGATCATCACCTGAACCAAACCATGCGTCTGACACTTAACTGACTAAGCCACCCTGGCACCCCCATCCGAAATTTTTTTTCAAGATTTATTTGAGAGAAAGAGAAAGAGTGCACACACACAAGCAGGGGGAGGAGCGATAGGAGAGAAGAGAAAGAAAATCTTGAGCCGACTCTACTTAGAGAGTGGCGCTGGATGCAGGGCTTGATCCCAGGACCCTGAGATCATGACCTGAGCAGAAACCAAGAGTCGGACACTCAACCAAGTGAGTTGCCGAGGCATCCCACTACCTGAATTTTTTAGATTAAGATCAACCACACTTAAAATTTAAATATAACCCTATGGCAGAACTAGTAGCCTGCTGCATCTTAATAATGAGAAGAAAAAGCAAACAACATGAGACCTATTTTTAAGTTGGGATTTTAAATTTCAGATATATAAATATTACTATTTTGAGAAAAACAAAAGTATAGACGGACAGATTTCAGAAAGCAGAGCCAAGAAAATATGAGATCCTGTCATGATAAAGGTTTGCTTACCATCCGTCCACTTCACAAATATTGTGCTAAGAAAATAAAGCAGTAAACATAATTGGTTTTAAAGCAGACTTTATTAATAAATATACATCCATATGATGATGTAGATACAAATCATGAACACTACTCCATTCCCATACACATAATTGCACACGAGTAGCTCAAGTTCATGGACATAAAAACATACACAGTATCTATTCGGACTTTTTACAGCAGAGGACAGCGTGCTTATATCAGTTAATTGGTAATTATTTTCTCTGTAATTATCTGTGGAAAAAGGAAACTGTGAAACTTAAAGAATCAAAGTGGTCTGATTACTATAAATCACACACTTGATTTACTATAGCATTAAATTTTCCAAAAATTAAATACATTGTATGTGAGAGTACAGGTTTACCTACTTTGGAGGAGGGGGAAGGAAAAGCAAAGGAAAGATTTAGATACATCCTAGAGTTTAATAGCATATAGTTGCCATAATAAAAACAAAAATATAATAGCATCTCAATATTTTAGGTCCAAGGAAAAGTTTTGAACTGTTGTGAATTTTTATATTATGAAGGGGTAAAATTTTACTGCATATAGAGACAATGACCGACAGAGCAGCAGGTATCGCCAACATCCCCTGAATTATTTTTTAAAGCTTCTTAGAATATAAAGAAGAAGGTTTGTTTTTTTTTTGTTTTTTTTTTTACTTTAGCTCATACACTGGTTTTTCTTACACTGGCTGGATCACCTTTAACCTAATAAACGGATCCAGATAATCGTTTTTTCCTCCTTAACTCAAAGAAACTCTATTACATCATGAAAATATACATGTAGATTCACACAAACATCAGTTTGGAATGAAGATTACTTTTATTAACAGATATTTTCTTTTAAAAAGTAAATAAAAAATATAAAGAATATTTTAGTCTAATTGAACACTGATTTTAAAAATGTCCCCAAATATTAAAAATTAATCAGATACTTATTTTCTTCCAATACATTGTGCCAGTATTTTTTTAATATCCAGTGCAAAACTCCAAAGATAGTATCAAAATCATCCCATACTAAAGATTAGTTATGCAAGGTTATTATCTGTCAAAAAAGGAAAATTTCATCTGTATTAGCTGCTTACTTGTTAATATGATAATAAATAAGGCATGTTAAAATAGTTTTCAAAGAAAATAGTAAAGCAAACTTACTTGGATAGCAGATCATTTTCTGACCAACAGTTTTAATATAGAATAGTGAAACCTATTTTGTGAAGAACAGAATTATACAATATAAAATTAGCAATTTACCTTTCAAGGAACAATCACACAGTTGGAGGAAAAGGCCAGTTTTCCCCAACTGATTATATTAAAGTATAGGCAATTGTTTAACATGCTATTTCAGTGTTTATCATGACAAGAGACAGTGTTACAAAAGATGCACAATGTAGTCTTTATAGAGAAGTAAAAATATTTTATATTTTAAGACTTCATGTTATCACTTAGATGTCTTTCTCTTCAGCATGGCACCAATAAACTGTTCACAAGGAGAAAAGGAAGTGGAATCAGGAGATGCTCACCATCATACAGATCTAATACTCCAGGTAAATGTTTACATGAACAGAAAATTCAGCTCTCTAAACAATGTTACCATTCACAACTGTAGCCATTTGCCCCCTTTTTTTCCTGGGACATAGCTCCTGATATTAATAAACACTGTTATGAACAGAATTCCTTTAGCTGATTTCACCATTTCATTAACATGTATACAAAATTCATTATACAATAATACACCTGCTTTATCTTCTGACACACAGCACAGCACCACTGAGTAGATGTGCTGGAGGATGGGGAAAGAGGCAGGGCAATGAATGAATGAAGCAAAGGCAAGAGAAAGGGAAGGGTATGTACAACAAAATCAGGAATGAAAATAAACTGAAAGGGAATTGTCAAACAGACAGTATAAAACAAGTCAACCAAATCCTTGACAGTGATCTATATTACCCTACCATAGAACATTTAATGAAACAACTGTTTTCAGGAACTCAGAGGATTTCTAAGTCACCATGGGCTGAACAACAACTTGAGAAACAGTTAAATGACAGATATATATCAAAAGTGGATAAACATATGAATAAAGATGTAAGCATTTGCGTGTGTCAGAAGTTATACTGTTCTGAGTAAATTATTCAAAGTTTTATATTTTAAGCTTCTGCAAAGAGAAACTCTTGTAGCAATTTAGCTGCCAGAATGTTACAACCGATTATATAGTCATCCAATATTGTTCTCTATAGTTTGTGCAAAGCTAAAATTGTTGAGGTCACTGTCTTAGATGCCAGTGGAAACACAGTCCCCATGTACAATGTAACACCTCTTACTGTAAAGAGCAGCGTTAGTCCAGCTCATTGTGTCAGGTATCACTGGAACACCTGAAAGCTTGCTGCTTTTTTCCTGATGAAAAGGAACGAAACATGACATCCATTTGCAATGAGAGTTTGCATTAACTGAGAGCAAGCCCAAATAACACAATGTATGCCCTTTTAAAATTTTAGTTATTTAAAAAGTTTTTGGGTCCTGCAAATCTACACTAGAATCTCAACGGCATTTAAAATTCCACAATTTGAGTGGAGTTTTCTTTTTTCAAATCCAAAGTTTGTAATAGTTTATTTAGAAAAAACTCAGAATAAATAAAATGTGTATTAACAAAGACTATCACTTTCAGAAAGGGGAGAAGAGTGATTTCTCTCTGTCCCTATCATACACATCTACACAATACTTTTTCTTTGCTATCTTACTTCTAAAGCAAACATTGCTGGAAAAGATTTTCTTTTGGATGAAGTGGTCCCACTGGAGCCACAATTAGATTTTTAATTAAACTACTCAACATATTTCTACATGATTCATGCATAGATGGATTCCTATATATTTCTTAATATTTGGGTTCTGATAGACAATTGCATTTTGTTTATACCAGTTTTAGACTCTACCATTCAATTTGTGTCCTTTGGTAGATATAAACCTGAAACCACAGTAAGTGCTAATGCAATGGGACAATTTCTCAGGAAAAAACTAAAAAATTTTTGAATAAATGAACAACATTAATAAATGTTTTAAGTATAATGCTTTAAAACTAAATATTTAAAGGCAAAATGTAGTGACTACAGCTACATGCAGACCTTAAGAATATTTTTTTCTATTATATTAAGTATGCTATTCTCAGAACGCATATTTCACCAGAAATGTAATGTGCAGTTTTTCTTAAAATGTTTAATTTTTCTGTAAATATGAATTGCCTGTAGTGTTTGGTATATATGCTCTCAGACAATTAAAGATACATAATGTATCAATGTTGAAAGGCAAACACAAGAATTCTTTTAGGAATAATGGTTAAATCAATTAATACCATGTAAATCAATAAAATAAAATAAATAAGCTTCTGCTGCTTAAACCTAGAACATTGAAAGATTGTTAACGTCTGAAGTCTATGGAAATGCCAAAGCATACAAATATCTGTGTCCTGTCTCATGAAAATAAATGTTACAAAAACTCACAGCCATTACCTCAAGTAATCCTGAATCATTAGTTTGCTTTGTTCCATCAGTTAAAAATACCTTGGATATTATCTTTATTATATTGTAGGCTTACTTCACAAACTAGTAGGTATAATGGTTTCAGTTGTTTAGCACATAAAGCATTTATTTAGAATGGCCCAAAAGGAGTAATGAAATATGAGACACAACCAGAACTCTAAAGGAAAAGCAAAAATGACTTAGTTAGGTATTACACTTGAACCTATATACAAATACAACGCCACTGCTCATGCCCTGAGTGCATCTGTCAGCATATGGCAGTTTCTGAGCAAAACCAGGAAAACAAATAAAACAGGAAAACAAATTTGGAAAGCCCAGGCCCCAAAATCATCTATGTCAAAATAAAACCAAGAAGCTTTGGGATTATTCACAATATTCCTTCTAAACCTGGCCCTCCTTTCCTGCCTCATTCACTCATTGGGTGGCTTGACTTCGCTGCTGGTTTCCTCTACCCCATGAACTGCTCTGCCATGTATCATAGGGTAAGGAAAAGCAGCAGTGCCACAGCCATAACCAAGATCGGCAAGACGGGATAGAGCTTTAATGCTACCTGGAGGTCTCCCTGGGCTGACTTTGTATCCGGCAGCTTTAGTTGTACCCAGAGGTCTGCCTGGACTTGTCTTAAATCCAGCTGCTTTGGTGGTTCCCAGGGGTCGGCCTGTGCTGGTACGGTATCCTGCTGATTTGGTGGTTCCTGAAGGTCGGCCACGTTTACCAGATCGGTTGAGATTTTTCTTTTTCTTTAGTTCATCTTTTATCTCTAGACTTCTGCCACTTGTAGTCTGCAAGTGTGTTTCATTTAATGGGTCTTGCCTCTGACAAGCCATTGGTTTGTGGCTGACCGTGTGGCTATATTTGCTTTGCTGGGAGGAATATATGTCAAACTGATCAGCAGCTCTCATGGCATCTTCATTGAGGCAGGAAGGCTTGCCAGGCCCACAGAAAGCCGGATTACTGCTGGCAACAGGATGCATCATTTTCTATCAAAAATAAAAGACAAATATGCATAAATACACACATACAAAAATATACCTGTATGACAGTATTCAGTGGGAAAATAGTCTGTCTTCCAAAACGGATGCAGGCTACCTAAAATTAGACTGACAGGCAGGACTCCAGACCACTTATAAACAAACACACATCAGCAGATTCAAAGATACTTGTTTTCCTCAACTTAATCAAGTGTATGGACATAAGTCACGCAAGATAACTATAATACGCATTAGTAGCCATAATGTTCTCTGCTTAGGAACTGGAAAAGTGGCTAACTAGGGAATAAATCTGTTACATTTTATAGGTTCTTTTTTCCTAGATTATGAAACCCTGAAACAGTAACAACAAAAAACAAGAACTCTTATTAACAGTATTCTTTTTTTTTTTTTTTTCCCATTTGCCTAACATTCTTAGAATTTCTTCTTTTGGCCCTTTATTTCTCACATATACACTTCTGACCTAGCCACAGTTGCCACAAGGTGGACATTTCTTCCTTATCATTTATTATTGATATAGAACCCTCAGTGTAGGGGCAGTTGAGTAGCTCTGTTCAGTTAAGCAACGGACTCTTAGTTTCGGCTGAGGTCATAATCTCATGGGTCTTGAGACAGAGCCCCTGCTCCAGGCACCGCGCTCAGCAGGGAGTCGGTCTGCAGATTCTTTCCCTCTACCCTCCCCTCCCCCACTCGCGCATGCGCTCTCGATCTCTCTTGCTTGCGCAAATAAACAAACCTTTAAAAAAAAAAAAAAGGATCCTCAGTGTCTGCTACACTTTACAAATCACGGAATGTGCCAAGCAAAGAACACAATCTCTCAAAATACTCCCTTTAAATTAACTAATCTATTAAAAAAAAAACCAAAAAACAAAAAAACTAACCCCCCAAAACAAAGTTTTAACCCAAACTATCCAAACAGGAGGAAGTCCGAATAGGAAAGGTGAACAAAGGTTTCCATTAGCTAAAATGAATCTACACTTATACAACTGAGAATTACACTACAAAAATATGGGTAACAATCAACAAAAATACTTCCTATTTTAAAGGTGTGATTATCAAGACAAAAAGCTGCATGTGTAATTTCTTCCTGATCATAAATATGTGTGGATCTTCCTCCCTTAAAAGAGCCCTGCGACTAATTAACAATGAGTCCAGTCTCTGTTTAGTCTGTGAAGACATCCCTGTGATTTTTTTCTCTTTATAAAGTATATATTATGACCGGTACCATAACAGACCAGCCCTAAAGAGCCATATCATTTAGACACACAGAAAATGTTTTTTTTTTTTTTTTTTTTTTTTTCCCTTAAGACTTTATTTGACAGAGAGAGAGAGCATGAGCTGGGGGAGGGGCAGAGAAGAAGCAGCAGACTCCCCACTGAGTAGGAAGACCAACAAGGGGCTCAATCCCAGGACCCTGATTTGGGACTTGATCCCAGGATCCCGGGATCATGAACCAAACCAAGGGCAGACATTTAACGAACAGCCACCCAGGCACCCCAGAAAATGGGTGAACTAAAATATTATATTTCAATAAGGTAAAAAAAATAAACATACGGGTTCCAATTCAGATTTAGAAAAAGAGTCACAGGTGTACAGTAAGATCTAGCCCATTGGGCACCTGGGTGGCTTAGGGACTGCCTTCGAGGCTCAGGTTATGATCCCAGAGTCCCAGGATCAAGTCCCGCAACAGGCTCCCAGCTCCACGGGGAGTCTGCTTCTCTCTGACCTTCTCCCCTCTCATGCTTTCTCTCTCTCTCAGATGGATAAATAAAAAATAAATAAAAATTTAAAAAAAAATCTAGCCCATAAGCTGTTAATGTTTGCCTATACCACACATGTAAAATCGCACCAAAACCTCAGTTATAAAGGCAAAAGGAAATGGGAATCAAGTCACAGAACTGAAAATCAACAGATACAGAGCTATTCACCAGCTGGCTTAAAGTCCTTTTTTTTTTTTTTTTTAAGATTTTATTTATTTATTTGACAGAGAGAGAGAGAGATCACAAGTAGGCAGAGAGGCAGGCAGAGAGGGGGAAGCAGGTACCCTGCTGAGCAGAGAGCCAGATGTGGGGCTTGATCCCAGGACCCTAAGATCATGACCTGAGCTGAAGGCAGAGGTTTAACCCACTGAGTCACCCAGGCTCCCCACAGCTGGCTTAAAGTCTTAACTATAAAATAATATCTACAATGAGAAGCTATTTGTTTACAGCAGAAGCCTTATAGACTTGAGAACACAAAACAAATTAAATGAACTACACAAATATTAAAAGGAGTAATTCTTTGCTTAATCCCAAAGATACAATTAGAAATAGGTTATCACTTCACCAGCTCAAATTCTAATTTCAGCTCAGAAATAAAAACAGATCAAGATGTGTTCCAAATGTAGTAATATTAGCTGAAAGTTAAGTTTTTGAACATTTCCTGTGTGTCACATAATAAGGCTGGCATTTTGCACATTTTCTGATTTAATCCGCACAACTCTATGAGGAACATACTATTATTAGCCCTATTTTACAGAAATGGAGGGATTTTTATCAATTTGCCAAGGTCACACATTTGGAAATGGTAAAGCCAAACAGGAATTCAGGTAATCTGACATCAGTACCAACAATTCCAGCATAATATAACTACACCAGGGTTTCTCAAAAATAGCACTGTCATTTGAGTCAGATAGTTCTTGGGGTTTGGGGGGGGTGGTGTCCTGTGTATTTTAAGATGCTTAGGAGCACCCCTAGCCTCTACCCACTAGATGTCAGTAGCTACACTCTCTTCTTCTCCCTCCCAATTTGACAACCTAAAGTTTCTCCATACAGTGACAAATATTCCGGGGCAGGGCGGGGGTGGGGGTGTGGTGGGGGTGTGGATGGAGTAAAAATTCACCCCCCACCATGAGAATGACCCAGCTATACGAAAATGAAAAACTAAGAACCACTTTAAAATATTCCTATTTTGTGGGGTGCCTGGGTGGCTCTGTGGGTTAAGCTTCTGCCTTTGGCTCAGGTCATGGTCCCTGGGTCCTGGGATCAAGCCCCGCATCAGGCTCTCTGCTCCACAGGGAGCCTGCTTCCTCCTCTCTCTCTGCCTGCCTCTCTGCCTACTTGTGATCTCTGTCTGCTAAATTAAAAAAAAAAAAAAAAATTCTGTTTTGGGGCACCTGGGTGGCTCAGTCGGTTAAGTGTCTGCCTTAGCTCAAGTCAGGATGCTGGACTCCCAGATGGAGTCCCACATAGGGCTCCCAGCTCAGCAGGGAGTGTGCTTCTCCTTCTGCTTCTCACCCCGCTCTCATGCTCTGTCTCAAAAATAAAATCTTTAAAAAATAAAATAGGGGCGCCTGGGTGGCTCAGTCGTTAATCATCTGCCTTTGGCTTAGGTCATGATCGGGGGTGGGGATCATGATCCCTGCATCGGGCTCCCTGCTCTGTGGGAGGCCTGCTCCTCCCTCTCCCACTCCTTGTGTTCCCTCTCTGTTATCTCTCTGTCAAATAAAATCTTAAAAAAAAAAAATTAATTAAACAAAAAATATATATTTTTTTAAAAATTTTACTTATTTATTTTGACAGAGAGAGATCACAAGTAGTCAGAGAGGCAGGCAGAGAGAGAGGGGGAAGCAGGCTTTCTGCTGAGCAGAGACCGATGTGGGGCGTGATCCCAGGACCGGGAGGCTTAACCCACTGAGCCACCCAGGCGCCCCATATTCTTGTTTTTTATTCACCTCTTTCGCTCATACTTCTCCAAATATCCACAAAATCTTTCTGTTGATAACATCTACAAAGTCAAATAGATTTGTTTTCCAAACTGAAGAAAAGCTAATGTTGGAATCTGTGAAGGGACTAACCACATTCCTTTTCCCTTGAAGTTATAAACGAATTGAGACATATAAACAGGAATTTCACAGGAATCAAAATACTAGTTTATTGCCAATAAAGTTGGACTAGAGACCACATGCAAAAACAAAGATAAACACAGACCTCTGAGAAGATTTTAAGAGAAAAAGTGACCCCCTTTTCAATTTTATCATTCAGAAATCACCCTGCTGAACGGAAAACTTTAGTAAAAAGAGGTAGAAAGGTACAAGTTCCCATCTACAACCAGCACTGACAGTAAAGGAAGAAAATGTTTCTTCCTACAGTCTATTTCAGTGCTTTACATTTTATGCCTTTTAAGTTCCTATCATTAATTTACCAAAACCTTTCCTCTGGATCTTACTTCCCTTAACTTTACTTCCTCTTAATTTAGCAGAACACTCACCATATATTAGCACTCAAGATACAGAGCCAGCTTAGAAAGATGTGGCCATGTATCTTCTACTCAGATACCAACAAACACTGAAAAAAACAAAACAAACAAACAAAAAAACACAACAACAAAAAACCCCCACACTACTTAAAAAGTAGACCTGTAGGGGCACCTGGGTGGCTCAGTCAGTTGAGAGTCTGCCTTTGGCTCGGGTCATGATCCCAGAATCCTGGGATCGAGCCCCGCATTGGGCTCCCTGCTCAGTGGAGATCCTGCTTCTCTCTCTCCTGCTCCCGCTGCTTGTGCTCTCTCTCTGTCAAATAAATAAATTAAAAAAAACAAAACAAAACAAAACCAGACCTGTAATTTAAAAAAAAAAAAGAAAGAAAGAAAGAACGAACGAAAAAGAAAAAGAAAAGAAAAGCACCCCTCACCAGTTCCTTTAATCTTCTCCAGGAATTCAGGCATTTGGTTTGTATTATGTTAATTTAGTTCTGACACGGCTCACATTTATTGAGAGCCAAGTCCATGCAAAACACTGTTCTTAGCACTAGAACACAAAACAGGAGTTCAGTTGTTTATTCCAACGGAAAAACAATGAGGCACTGACTTAAGGAACATTTCTAAGGGCAAGTCTTCTACATGTTCTATGTTTTCCTTCCCCACTACAGTAAAAAAAATCACTACAGTATTGCGCTAACTCAATAACTGATTAAGACGCTAGAAAATAGGGGCGCCTGGGTAGCTCTGTTGGTTAAGTGTCCCACTCTGCACTTCGCTAGGGTCCAGATCTTCGGATCATGAGATAAAACCAGGTGTGGGGCTTCAAGTTGGGTGTGGAGCCTGCTTTTAAGTTTCTCTCTCCCTCTGCCCCTCCCCACTCTGCTCACCCACACCCTGAGCTCTCCATTTTTCTTTAAAAAAAAAAAAAAAAAAAAAAAAAGTTGGAAAAGAAATTAATCTACTATGACAGTTAACTGATGTAGTTAACTAAAAAGGAAACAGTTAAAACCCACCCTTTCTACTTTGAAGTTCAACCTTTTCAGATGGGAATCAAATCAACAGCATTAGATCCTTTTGTGCATCATCATCTACACACACATACACAAGATAGATGTTTATAAGCAGTATTTATATATACAAGCATTACTTAATCCTACACTTATAATGTCTCCTACTTCAGGGCTTGGCGGCATACTGTTCTTTCTTCTAAGAGTCTTCCCATAACACAGTACAGAGTTCAATGAAAGTATACAGGCCACAATTCTTAAAAAGAGAATGAATTCATTTCTATAAAGTTTGGACTGAACGAAAGCCAGGAGTTACATAACTGAACGTGCAGCCTATCAAAGGTTAACTACCTTTAAAAATAGTTCACTGAATATAAGGGAGTCAACTAAGAGCTTCTATATGTTTTAACTATCACTAAATTAGAATTTTTAAAGCACACACTGGAGCGCCTGGGAGGCTGAGTCGGTTGAGAAACTGCTGATTTCCGCTTGGGTCGTGGGATTGAGCCCCAGCGTCCGGCTCCAAACTCAGCGGGGAGTCCGCTTCTGATTCCCGCTCCCTCTGCCCCTCCCCCTGCCCCCTAAAATAAATAAATAAATAAATCTTTAAGGGGAAAAAAAGAGCACACATTAAAACTTGCTATCTTTGATACTGTTCTACTGTGTTTAAACTCGGAAGTCTCTGGGTGAGCCATTCTTTACGAAATAATTCTTTTCCCTTTTCTTGACTGTGGTACTCATTACTGCCAACATAAAGAACTATGACTATTTTTATTAACTTCACAAAGCACTCCTGAAGCTTTCTAAACACGGAGAAAATCTTCCTTTCAAGAAATCCAAGTTGTGGTCTCTTCCAAAGATCAAACATCAAACAATTCTCAGATTTATTTCAGGTCATTTGGGTTGTAACGATTATATAGAATCATATGTGTTTTTATAATTCTAAATAAAAGTCCATTTGTGACCCACATTACTCAGAAAATCTATTCAGCAACAGCCAAAATAAATGCCAAAAGCCATGCAGCCTGTCCCACCACAGAAAGTTTTGATACCACGACAGATCATAAATAACGGCCTTCTTTGTCTTCTCTCTACCCCTTAATTGTGACCCACGGCGCAGTTTCCCCCGTACCAGAATCCTTATTTGACAAGAGACGTTTGAAAATGTATTAGCTGTTGTAACCAAAAGCGATTATTAATGCATTAATATTAACAACTTTGGAGAAGATACACGCCCACACCAGAGAAAGAGTCGCGTACCCTCCAACAACCAAAATTCATAGCCCGCTATCCTTGCACTTGGGAGTTCTTCGAGCGGCAGAAGTCCACAGGCCACTCCATCTAGACGTCCATCTCGAAGCCGGCAGGCTTTAATTTAACGAGGGACAGGGAAGACTGCTAATTTTGACCTCTCAAAGAAAAGAAAGGGTGACCCCTCCCCCCCCCCCGCCGGAGGCAGTTCCCCCCAATAATGGCTCCACGCCGAGGGACGAGCAGGCTACGTCCGGGGCCCCTCCTCTCGCTGCGGGTTGGGCCAGAGCCCCTCCTCAGACGTGGGTCGGAGACCTCCTCGCACCGGCAGGCTGGGCGCCGGTTCTCGCTGCCTCTTCGCCTTCTCCAAGAGCTCCCGCTGCCCCAACTCTGCTCTGAGCCAGACTGACAAAACCCCGCGCACCCACCTACCTTAGCTGCTGGTAGCCCGGCCCCTCAGCGAGCCCAGGGGTTGCCCATCAGCTGGGAACCTGACGCCGACGCCGCTCCCTTCCCAGACCGTCGCCTCGGCACTGCGCGAAGAGCACAAGTCAGAGAGGCAGGCAGTGAAGGCGGTGGCGGCGAAGTGGACGCTGGCTCCCAGCTCTCGCCGCGGCCACCGCTCAGGGTCCTGCCCCAAACGCAAGAGGAAGAGGCCACCACAGCCCAGAACTGCGAGGGGAGGCGTGCGCGAGCTCGCAAGGACCGCGCACGCACACGCACACGCACACGCACATCGCGAGACCCAATCTCCCGCCGACGACCAGCACGCAAGCCTGGGGAGGGTAGCCGGCAGAGCCAGGCTGCGCTTGCGCGTCGTGGGGACGGGTAGGGGGCGGGGCTTAGGCCCGCGCGGCTCAGGCTGTGAGGCAGACCGTGCGGGTCGGGTGGGCTGAAGACACAGCCGAGGGGTAATAACTTGCTTACAGGATTGATGTTTCACCCCAATTCTGTGATGTTGGAACTCCTACTTGACCCCATTACTCAGATTACAGGAGTCAGGATTTGAATCCAACTGTGTGATTCCAGAAAGTGTGCCTTTAATCGCTGTTGGTAAAGATTAATGCCTAATGTGTCATACGCTTTCCAAAACATGTTGAAAGGACTTAGCTCCTGCCCTTTACTGGTTATGGATAGGTGGGATGAGAACTCCACCTACTAACAAAATGGGTAATATTCAAATAATAATAATGCTATTGGACCCTCAACCCTAGGATCATGTGATAATGAAAAGCTGCATTTTGTGGGACATGCTATAATTTTTTAAAGTTTTTATACTCATGACCTCAGAACTGCCATATTCTTCATTACACCAGCACAAGAACTGGGACTAGAAGTAGTTTGCTTACAAAATCACCCCCTTTATGTAGTTATTGTGAAATTTCTAGCAGATCAGTCATCACGTACAGGCCACTTAAAGGGGCTGGTTTCCCCAGTTCTTCACGCTGTGAATTTGAATATGCTAGAAAGGATAGGATCCAGAATTAGGAAGACTACCACTTTACTAGGTAGTGCTAAGAGGCTAGGGGTGGTGTTTCTCCTTTTTGCCTATGCAGTGAAGACTGTTTGAGGAATTCTGAGCACTGAGTTCTGCTTTGAGCACAGCATTTGTCCAGGCACTGCTGCCAGTAGAAAAGACAGGAGCAACAGGAAAACCAAATACAGTAAACAAGCTAGTCCATTCATTTTCTGGCAGGTATAATTCTCTAACTACAATTCTAAATATTCTGACTCATTACTTCTATGAAATAACACAAAACAGAACTGATTAGACCAGTACTATTCATACATAAAAGGAAAATACCAATGTAGAAGACAGCTAAAATATGTACAGATTGGAGGACATATTAAGTACCCTTCCAAAAAACAGTAAAACAGGTTTTCTCAAGTCCTCTTTTTCATTCTTGAACTGGAATTTGAAAATGCACTCTAGCACTCCCATACCATGACTATTCCAGATCCATAACTCTGTATTTTGGTCTGAAATGGCTTTGATACATAAAACCACTCAAGAAACAGAAACTTTTGTCCTAATAAGGTCCAATGATTTGCAGGCCCAATGGAGAGGTAGCCAGAATAACAGATGAAGTCAGACATTGCTGGGTTTTGAATCCCTCTCTGCCATTTGTCTCCTTGGGCAAGTCACTGTTCTTTCTAGAAGTTCCCTGCGTAAAATGAAGACAATGTCCTCCTTGCAGGGATAAGAAATTAAATGAGCTAATGGGTAAAGATAGAAATAGAGATAGATTTAAATCTAGGTCTACTACTTATTAGTTATATGATTTTGGACAAGCAACTACTCAATTCAACATATATTTACTGAATGCAAAGTCCTGGAGATACAGGACTAACAGGGCCCCTGACCTCAGGGAGTTTAGATTCTGGTGAGGTAGACAAAAATGCAAGCTGATAGTCAGAATATAATGTTAAATGCAGTTAATTTGTTGTTTTCTCATATTCATCTCAGGTTGGCCTTAATGAGATGCTTCAGTACACACAGATAAAATGTAACAACTAGTCCTGAATGTAGAGGCTTTTTCAAGAGCAAAGCCATTTATCATCACTTAAAGAGCAACACTTTTAAATGTCATACTCTGACTTATCAACCAACGTTTCTTCTTCAAAAGTATATACCCTTGAAATACAATATGAACTCGATCCAACATTCTTCATTCCTTTTCCAACAGCTTCAGCCTGGCTCTGAGCAGGCCAGATCAGATAGACAGATGACCAGCTTATAAGATTTTTGAATGATAAATGGTGGTTGTACACATGCAAAAGGAAGGCCATTATAGGAATATTTGCCTAGAGCCAGGATCTGGCTGTCTCCAGAGACCTTTGAACTGTGGCAATAAATGTTCCTAAATACTTTCACTTGAACTGAAAGATACACGAAGAAAAAAATGAATCTTACTTTCTAGACATTAGTTTATCAGTAGCCATGGACTGTCCTCACTAGGTATACAGCTTATAGCAATATTGAAAATAAGAGCAATATGGAAAGAGAGCATGAAAAAAACCCATACCCATTGTAATGGTAACAGTACGGATACTTACTGGATGCTTACCATAAGCCAGGCACTATCTTTTTGTGTTTTAAATGTTCTATTTCACCTCATCCTCACAACAACCTGAAGAAAGATATTATCACACCTATTTACATATAAAAAAGCAAACATTTTAAAGCATTCAAGGAACCTGCCTCAAGTTGTTCAGGTACCCCAATATAGTAAATGTATTTATAATTATGTGTGTGAGCTGTTTTACCAATGTTGTAACCAATATATTTAAACACACCATGTCGTGAAACAACGTATTATAAAAGCTACTAAAAATTTTTTTAAAGGATGGGGCGCCTGGGTGGCTCAGTCAGATGGGTGTCTGGCTCTTGATCTCAGGATCCTGGGATTGGCTCTGTGCTCAGCGGGGAGTCAGCTTGAGGATTCTCCCCCTCTCTCTTTGTCCCTCCCCCAGCTCACAAGCACTCTCTCTGAAATAAATATATTTAAAAAAACAACTTAAAGGATGAGATTTTAAAAGTAACACAAATAGCTCCAGTATTTTCTTCTTGCTTTCCAAATGGCTTATTATACATGTGCCCCACTTTGGAGACCACGTTAGATCACAGGCAGTCAAAATCCAAGAACAAAAGTGAAGATTATCAGTAGTTTTCAAACTTGAACATGTATCACAGAATCATTACCACCCCAGACACAGTTAAATAGCACCACTAGACCCCTAAAAATTTAGAGGAACTTGTGTTCTCCTTGAAACTCCCAGGCGTTCATTCCTCTGCTCCTTCCATTAAGCTTTCCAAATCGTGGATGTGGGCCCTAGGCTGGCATGGGAGATAAAAAAGACTCTTTCTGCAAAGTCAAAATACAGTTCTAGGGGTCTCAGCTTTCAGAAGACTTCCACAGGCAAAAGCACAGAGAGTAAATAATGCCTTCAAGAATACTTGAACGGCGGGGGGGTGGGGGGGGCGGGGAGGAATACTTGAACTGCAGGACCCAGGCACCTGAGCACCCACTAGGAATTCAGAAATAAAGGCCACAGACACGTTAAATCCAAGGCTGCTAAGAAGTGCCTGGAGTTGATAAGCTGCTAGAAATCCATCTACTACCAAGTGCCAAGGTAAAATGATATGCTTCTTCTGTGGACAAAAAGCCCATCTTTCATACTGAATCCTCACAATTTTTTTATTCCATAATAGGTAAAACTGTGAAAAGGGTCTCATATTCAAAACATGAACTATCACGTTATTTCCATATATTAAAAATGGTTAGGGGGGCACCTGGGTGCCCTCTGGGGGCTCAGAGGGTTAAAGCCTCTGCCTTCGGCTTGGGTTATGATCCCAGGGTCCTGGGATTGAGCCCCACATTGGGCTCTCTGCTCAGCAGGGAGCCTGCTTCCTCCTCTCTCTCTGCCTGCCTCTCTGCCTACTTGTGATCTCTATCTGTCAAATAAATAAATAAATAAAATCTTTAAAAACAAAATGGTTAGGAATTTTTTCATTCTGAAACTCTAGCTTTTACAGTAATCCTAATAATATCTGAATGGGTAACTCTGAGCTCTAGATTTCCAAAGGATTGTTAAAACTTTTTTTTTTTTTTTTAAAGATTTTATTTATTTATTTGAAACAGAGAGAGAGAGATCACAAGTATGCAGAGAGGCAGGCATAGAGAAAGAGGAGAAAGCAGGCTCCCTGCTGAGCAGAGAGCCCGATGCGGGCCTCGATCCCAGGACCCTGAGATCATGACCTGAGCTGAAGGCAGAGGCTTAACCCACTGAGCCACCCAGGCGCCCAAAACTTTATTTTTTTATTTCATACTTACTTCCTCCCCAAGGTTAATGCAAATTAGAATTTATTTTGACCTTCAAAATCATGAACTTCTATAAGCTGAAGACATATCTGGAGAAGAATAAGGTCAAGAAAAATAATCAAAAGTAAATTCCTCAGAGTACCTAGCTGGCTTAGTCCATGGAGCACAACTCTTGATCTCAGGGTTGTGAATTCTGGGTGAAGAGATTATTTTAAAATAAAATCTTAAAAAAAAAAAAAGTTAATTCCTCTCCAGTCATGTGATTTGACAGTATGCACTTACAAGTACACAAATACCCGCTTAGCCAGAAGACATTATAAAGGTGAGATCACGGATATTACAGGGATTTTGCAAAGAAAATGTTTGTTTACAATTTTCCTCCATATTTCTACTTGGATTCCTGCCTGAGGAAAATTATAAGTTGATACAGGAGGGGGAAAAAAAATGACCTTCAAATAGCTATAATTGAAAACACCAGGGGATCTTTAACTAGGGAGGGAAATGTAGCCATCTTTAGCTCTGGAGAACTTGCCTAACATTAAGCAGTAAGAGGCTGATCATATTTCCAAGCCAAAGAGCCCACTCAAGAGAGATCTTATTAAGGCTTTTTAATGATTATATTACCTAAAATGAATACAAAGATAAGATATCCCCTCCACTCCTCCACACATATTCATTAACTCTTTGTCTTTATATTTACATACCCATCTTAACTTCAGCTTTTGGGGCCAGAAGCAGAAGGCACAAAAAAATACCAGCATATTCCAATTCTTAAAACTATGTACCAAACTGAAGAACTAGTGGCTCCAGATTGCAATCCAAGAGGAAGCATCTGATCTCAAAGATCACCCTGGGCTAGCTACTCAGTCTCGCCTGCTGTAAGAGCTTTGCATCCATCATCAATAAAGTTACAAAAATACAACATTTTACTAAACAAAGTGTAGCTCTTTATCCTAGAATTCAACTACCATTTTCCCCCCAGTTCCTATCTTAAGCACTATGTTATCTGTTAGTAAATGACCTCAGCGGATGGTTTTATAAAGGAAAGGAAGGCACCAGAGGGAAAAGAGCTCACGCATAGCTAAGTTACAACTTTGGAGGTTTTGCTTTCTAGTCTGTGATCCTTACAGTGCTAATATGCTATTTAGAAACAGATCCCATGGTTGGCTTTATAGGATTTATAAATCCCAGGTACTTAAGAACTGGTTCTGCTCAAACAACTTCACATGTCCAGTCTGCCTGCCTCAGAGGAAGGACTGCGGTCTCAGGTGCACTGTGACTCCCAGCTGACCACCATCTGTACACCAACGAGGCTGGTAAGACATGAAACATATCAAATAATAAAGTGTCTACAATGACTTGGAAAGAACTTAGCCATCATTGTTAAATTCTATACTTCCATTTTGTAAAATGAGTGCACTGTAACATAATGTCAACTGGCACATGAACTATTATTTCACCTATCGCCTGTATTATATCAAATGCAAACAAAATCTAAGACTAAGAGGCTTCTTCAGGAAGATATTTTTGGATAGAACTGCATATTCTGAGCCGTAGGATTGCCAGAATTTTTAATAAAGATACAGAGTACAATACTCCTTTCCCATACCTACCAATGTAAACAAAATTAGAGCAACAGCATAAAACATTTCAGCAGAGATCATTTTTGGAAACTGTAGGTTGAATTAACTTTATTTTATAAGGAATTTAGAAAACATGAGCAGATATTGATACTGCATTAAAAAACAATTTAGTCTGTACATCATTCTGATTTTAAAAATCAAAGAGTCAGTGTGACACTAAAAAATGTTTTAACAGAGAAATGTGTTTCACTTTAGGACAAAAAAATACTATCAGTGTTTTATTACAACTAGATATACAAACAAAAAGGTAGTAATGCTAAAATGATATAAAACTCTGAATCTCAAAGTGATCCAAGAGGCTGAAGGGAGCACCAATTGTCACCAATGTGAGACTGCCACATTATTCTATCAAAAAAAAAAAAAAAAATCACTAAGTAATAAAAATAAGCAAATAAATAAAAGGAAAGGAAAAGTAACCCAAGATGTCTGCATTTCAGAGTAAATGACTTATTTGGTTCTCCTGTTACATGTGTCTTGTTTGTTTTCTTCTTCTAAGAAACAAAGTAGATATGAAAGGAATCTAAGAATATCCACCTTAGTTTTTCAGTAAGCATAACAATATATATTGAAGAAATGATTGATAGTCCTTGTCATTTTAACCACTTAATGTACTAAGTATGACTTTAGTATGCTTTATTTTCTTCTTTTTAAAAAACTCTTAAGTCAAGAATATTCAGAAACTTCTGTCTCTCTTAATTTAAGACATCTATCTATTTAATTCCTGGCTATTTTCTTTTTTTCAAGAGGTGACAACAATACAAAGTTCTAATATACCAGGAATCTTGAAAAGAACATTGGGTGATCCAGTTACAATATTTTAAATTAGAATATTCAGGAAATATATCTGAGGGGTCAAAAATATAATTTATGACTCCCATGAGTTAAATTTCACTGAGAGATGCTTAAATCTAAGTCTACAACACAGGTACCATTATGCTGGAAATTTTTTAAGAAAGAAAATTCATAACCTACTCAATAATCCTGGAGAAAATGTGGATTAAAATTATTGTGTTTTTACATACAGATGTATAAACAAACACTTGCCGGGGGGGGGGGAGGGGAAGGAAAGAATATTTCTAGGCTACAAATCACTTTCGTTTAAGGAAGATTAAAAAAGATTTAGTAGCTAGACACAGAGCTAGAGGTTGTGAGGGGGAACCTAAGAGAAGTAAATACTAAAACTCTTTGCAGTGTAAAGAAATGCAAAAACCTCTTATACTACAAATATTTAATTTTATAAAACCAAAAAGCAGTCCAACTATTGCCCATTTATGATGATAAAATTGAAACAAAAACTAAGACATTTTGTAAAAATTCTATTACAACATTCTTAAGCCCAATTCATATTGTTCCATGGAGTCAAGTAAGATTTAAGCTGAGGGTGGGGGGTGGGGAGGCACGGACACAAAATTAGAAAATTTTACCTTTTTTTGAGAAGATGATCACAATTTCATTTCAAGAGGATAAGGTGAAGAGCCCCTTAGTGACTTGTATACTTTATTACTGTCAATAGAAAGTCCAAATATTTCCATTTTTTTAAACTTCTGGAATATCATCCAGATATTTAAAATATTGATATTTAAAGTTTACATTAAAGGACATAATACACTGAAAACAGGCCTGCTTTAAATACAGTTTGATAATTCTGGTGGTACTTACTGAAAGAAGATTTCTTTAGCAAATACTGGTTTCATATATTTAAAAAAAATCAGCAAGACAGAATTTTAAAAATCTTAATTTACAATACATTGTAAACTGGAGACAACTGCCACATGTGTCACAGACCAGCACAAGTAAAAAGTTTTTTCCGGATGTTTTATAAGACTTTGTATCTTCCTTTATTTGTTGGTTGGTATGAATTTTGCTAAAAGAGAAAAAAGGTGCATAATCAGAAAAAGCAAAGGAAGAAAAAAATACATGTCAAAGACATTTCCTTTCCAAACGTACAGCATTATCAGATAATTTGAACTGAAAATGTTAGTATTATACTGAGGAAGGAAAAACTCCTCAATAACCAATCATCTGTGTTCATGTGACTACTCTTAAGACAGCAGTTTTGAACAAACTAATGGTGGTGGCATCAAGGTTCTTTATCACTTCTTGGTGAAACAGTCTTAAAAGCCCTTGAATCAAAGGTTGTTTTCCAAAAAAAAAAAAGAAAAAGAAAAAATTTTCTTCTTTCTTCCTGTTTTGTGTAGCTTCTATTCTTTAAACTTTTAGCACCCCAAAGAAAGTTCTGTAAGGGGAATTGTAGAAAAGGCCTCCAAAACACATTCGTGGAGAAAGGACAAAGTGTCCTTTCAAAGGGCCTTCACCCAGTGTATATATATTATAGGGAGCTTACAAACTTCAACTGGCACTAAAGACACAGGGATGGGGGCAACTAGGTGGCTCAGCTGGTTATAAGCATCTGGACTTTTGATTTCAGCTCAGGATCAAGCCCTGAGGCTGGCTTCACACTCAGCTGGGAGTTTGCTTCTCTCCCTCTGCTCCTCCTCTGCCTCATATGCATGCTCTCCAAAGCAAATAAATAAATCTTAAAAAAAAAAAAAAAAGGACACAGGGATACGTTCACCTTCTTTGGGAAGGTGATCTGTAAGAGGATGCCTTTTCCATGGCATAACCCCTTTGGAAAATTATTTAGCAAAACTTATGTAAACCTAACTACATCTACACTACAACTAGCAATTCAACTCCAAGGTATATACCCAAGAGAAAAGCATACTGATATATACAAAAGAGACATGAAAGAGTTCTCAGAGAAGGGCAGCCTGGGTGACTCAGTTGGTTAAGCATACGACTCTTGGTTTTGGCTCAGGTCATGATCTCAGGGTTGTGAGATCCAAGCTCAATGTCGTTCCACAATCAGTGTGGAGTCTGCTTAAGACTGCCTCTCCTTTCCCCTCTGCCCCTGGCCCCCGCGCTCTCTCAAATAAAAAAAAAAAAAAAAAAAGAAAAGAAAAGAAAAGAAAGAAAGAAAGAAAGAAAGAAAGAAAGAAAAAAGAATGCTCAGAGAAGTGTTATTCATAAAAACAAAAAAGTAAAATAGTCCCGAAGTCCAATACATAAATTGTGGGTATATTCACAAACTAAATACTACACAGACATGAAAGACAATTAATTACTACTACATGCAACAACATGGGTTTCCTCCAAGTAATTAGATATAAAAGAATACACAGCAATCAATCCACTTAAATGGAGCTCAAAAATAGGTGCAACTAATCTACCATGTTAAAAGTCAGAATACTGTTACATTCGGGGGAGGGGTATGTGGGTGACTTCTCGAATGTTGGTATTATACTATGTTACTTGATCTGGACAGAGATGACATCAGTGTGCTTCCTTTGTGAGAATTCACCAAGCTATATGTTTATGACTTGTGTACTTTTCTGAATTTATATTATAGTTCAATAAAATATTTACTAAAACAAATAAGAAAGTCTTTGAGGTTTTCACTCACCAGCCGAATCAGTTCTTCTTTTATAAGCCTGGTGATTTCTGCCTTTGCTTTCTGCACGGCCAGTTCATTGGCACCTGGTGAATGAGAGGAAAGCGTTATTTGTATTACTAGAATTACACTGGATGTTTATCCATGTCATGGAGATCCAATAGGAAATACTGTAGATGACTTTTTTTTAAAGAAGATTTTATTTATTTGACATAGACACAGCAAGAGAGGGCACACAAGCAGGCAGAGTGGGAGAGGGAGAAGCAGACTTCCCACCAAGCAGGGAGCCTGATGCAGGGTTCGATCCCAGGACCCTGGGATCATGACCTGAGCTGAAGGCAGGCAGACGCTTAACGACTGAGCCACCCAGGTGCCCCTATAGATGACTTTTAAAAACACTGTACTGCCTGCCAATATAGCCTTTCAGAACCTGGTGGAACATCATCCATATTATATAATGGCTGCTTATTATTCTGATTCCTCTTAGAGTTTCCAATATAACCAATGAGATCACATTACATGTGGTGTTAAGAGTTCTTGGTGGGGGGGGAGGGGAGTGGGGCGCCTGGAGTTAAGTGTCCAACTCTTATTTCGATTCAGGTCATGATCTCAGGGTCATGAGCTCAAGCTCTTCATCCTACTCCACACTCAGCAGGGAGTCTGTTTGAGATTCTCTCTTGCTCTCCCTCAGCCCCTCCTGCTCGTGCTTTCTCCCCCAAATTAATAAATAAATCTTAAAAGAAAAAAAAAAGAGTTCTTGGTATGATTAAAAAGAGCAAAGAAAATATGATGAATACTTTGTCCAAAAGAGACTAAGGAAAAAAGCTGAAGAGAAATATAAACTCCTTGGTTCATTTATTTAATAAATACTTATTGGACATTTATTATATTCCCTAAGGTGGAGGACTATCCACGTTAAAGGAGAAGTGATGCCATGGGGTATTTTATGAAGGGAATCCCATGTGCAATGGTATAAATGAGGAAAGGCATGCTTAGGGGTGCCTGGGTAGTTCAGTTGGTCATGATCAGCTCAGGTCATGATCCCAGGGTCCTAGGATCAGGCTCCTCATCAGGCTCCCTCCTTAGCAGGGAGCCTGCTTCTCTCTCTCTTTCTCCCTCCCTGCTGGTGCTCTCTCTCTCCCCTAAATAGATAAGCTAGGAAAAAAAAAAAAAAAAGGGCATGCTTAATTACTGAGAGGTATACTGTGGTTGGGAAAGAACACAGCAAGATAGCCTAGAGGATAAGGGAGTTTGGAGACATTCTTTCATTCAGTTATTTTAATTCAAGAAATATGAAGTTCTCACCATGTATGATATAGACTGAGAGATTCATTATACAAAGAACTCATTCATGCTCTTTATGATCTTGCAGACTGGTAGAAAAACAAACTTGTTAAGATATTATAACAGAATGAGAAGGTAGGAAGCAGTCTATCAGAATGACTTCCAAATATCATTCCTTACAAAAACCTCTCTCTCAGTTCTCCAGGCAGAGTTAAATGGCAAAGAGTTGAGAAGCAAATAAAGTAAGAATAAAGCAGATACTAAATCCAAGAGGAAAAACAGGTATTATCAGCACTGACGGTAGATGAAACTCAATTCTGAGACTGTTGTACTTCAAGTGCTCATGTGACATCCAGCTGGAAATGTCAGTTAAAGCCAATGGAAATATGGACCAGAAGTAAAGGAGACGTGGAGATGAGAGAGCCATGAAGGATAGCGTGGAGGGATCTGAAGCCAAGGGACAATGCCAGGGAACAGGTAAATCTAGAGAGGTAGCACCCACCAAAAATAAATAAATAAAATAATAATAAGTAAACAAAAGCTAAAAAAGGGGGCCAGCTGCGTGGCTCAGTCAATTAAGGATCTGACTCTTGGTTTTAGCTCAGGTCATGATCTGAGGGTCATGAGATCAAGCTCCACGTCGGGTTCTGAGCTAAGTGTGCAGCCTCCTTAAGATTCTTTCTCTCCCTCTGCCCCACAACTCCCCTCCCTGGCCAAAAACTCAAAATAAAGAAAATAAAATAAAAATTTTAAAAATAAAAGTAGATAGGTAGCACAGTATACACTGATAAAAATGAAAGAGCTGTACCAACAGAATAGAAATTAAGAACTAGGAGTGAAATGTTAAACAATATGAAAACTAGAGATGCAATGTAGAAAACTGTGTATTTATCCTTTTTTTTTTTTTAAAGATTTTATTTATTTATTTGACAGAGAGAAAAAGCACAAGTAGCAGAGAGGCAGGCAAAGAGGGAGGGGGATGCAGGCTCCCTGCTGAGCAGAGAGCCTGATGCAGGGCTCAATCCCAGGGGCCTGGGATCATGACCAGAGCCAAAAGCAGACACTTAACTGACTGAGCCACCCAGGCGCCCCTGTATTTATCATTTTATGTAAGAAAAAGAAATCAGGAAAACAAGCCATAGAATTCTCCTTGTTAGACAAAAATGACCTTTTCTGATCCCAAAGAGAGCAAAGGAAGGGAGGAGAGGAAGAAAGGAAAGAGATGAAGAAGGAAAAGGAAGAGGAGAGGAGAAATAGCAAGGGGAGGAAGAAGAAGAAACAGTTTAACAATAGGAAGGAAAGAGCCAGGAGTATGGCTGTGAAGTTATAGCAACATATCTAATCTAAATCCTACACCTCCACCAGCCAGCAACCACACATTTTAAAGCTGTGGGTGCTGGAAGAGAAGAGAGATGGATGTTAAGAAAACAAAAGGGTAGAATCAAGAGCAAAGCCAGGCTAAAAATTACAACCAAAATGAAATTCAGGAGGAAAATATGCTACTCGGCATGATTTGGTGTGAAGTTGTTGATATTCTGTGCTGTTTTAAAAAGAAAGAAAATGACACTCTCACCTAAATCCAAGTAGAAGAATAATTTTCCTATTTTAGTTAGAGCCTGACCATTTGGACCAGTTTAAAGTTTTGACTTATAAAGCCTCTTTAGGTAATCGGTTACATATGTTTATAAGCTGCCATGGAAAAGAGGCATTTCCTTTCATTGGTCCTAAAACAACTCTGGCTGCTTTTAAGGGATTCTCCACTAGTAAAAAGAGAGGGTCACAAAACAGGCTATAAATTATACAGGATGGCTAGGCACATAAGTCCTTCCTGTTCTCCTTCCCGCTGCCTGGTGGGAAGCCTGAAACTGCTGACCCACAAAGAGCCTCCAAGGAGCCAGGCATTAGTGTCCTCCAATTACAGAACTAGAAACAGATGACACTAGGCTCCTTCCAACACCTGTTTTCATCCTATTAGAGTTCAGTTGATTTGGCTGGAGTTTCAAAAACTAAAAAATCTTTTAAAAAACTAATTATCTATGAAAATCTCAAAGCTTTGGATCATTTTAATTACTAATGTCCAGTTCTTAACCATCACTACAGCTCTAGAATTCTAAAGATTCATTTTTGACAAGATTACCTTATTGCATAGGGTTTGGAAAAAGCTGGTTTAGGTTATAAAAATTAGATGTTATTTCCCAAGTACAAGTGGACAGTGGAGAGAAATGACCAGAAGCATTCTACATGGATGAAAAAGTCAAGCAGAAGCTGTGGGCTTCTCACTTCACTTAGTAGAGGAGATATGTTCTGATAAAGTTCTATGTAAGATGAACCTTGATATATTACTTATACTATACTAAACATAATTACCTTTAAATTCAAGAATTACACAGAGGATCCTTTTTCAAAGCAAATGCCCCTGATTTACATCTCTGATTTACGTCTTTATAAGGAAGGCATTTAAAAGTATTAGTTTTGCTTAAATGACACCCATGATATTCAAGCTGAAAATAAAAGGATGACTGCATGTATACCAAGGGTTTTATCATCAGATTCCACTGGAAGACACTGTGTCTCCAACCTGTATGGTCTAAAGAACAACAGAGTAGGGGAGACCTGTCCAGTTCCAGGTGCAGAAAGATGTCAGTTTAACTTTCTCTCCTTAAAGCGCTAGGTGCCAGCTATCTTCATTTTACTACACAATAAGGAAAAGTATCACATGATTTAGAAACACACAGCCACTGGTAGAACAAAAGTCTTTTGGGACACATAAAAGGATGCATTTAAAAACCTGACTTAGTAAAAGACACAATCACACACAAAAAAAAACCAAAACAAAACATGGAATTTGCTTAAGCTCTACATCCTTTGTATACCATTTTAAAATATGCATGAATCTTAAATATGCGCGCATTTTAAAATATGCATGAAATAACGGCAGAATGGTAATAACAGGGAACATATAAAGGCTGCATTCAAGTTTCCCTACTGCCACAATTCATCATTAACTTTTTTTTTTTTTAAGATTTTATTTATTTATTTGACAGAGATCACCAGTAGGCGGAGAGGCAGGCAGAGAGAGAGGAGGAAACAGGCTCCCCGCTGAGCAGAGTGCCCGATGTGGGGCTCGATCCCAGAACCCTGGGATCATGACCTGAGCCAAAGGCAGAGGCTTTAACCCGCTGAGCCGCCCAGGCGCCCCTCATCATTAACTTTAAAAGGTCCTATAGTGGGGGCGCCTGGGCGGCTCAGCGGGTTAAAGCCTCTGCCTTTGGCTCAGGTCATGATCCCAGGGTTCTGGGATCGAGCCCCACATCGGGCACTCTGCTCAGCGGGGAGCCTGTTTCCTCCTCTCTCTCTGCCTGCCTCTCCGCCTGCCTCTCCGCCTACTTGTGATCTCTATCAAATAAATAAAATCTTTAAAAAATAAATAAATAAATAAATAAAAGGTCCTACAGTGAGAGTGCATCAGTGAAAATGGCAGAGCCTCGAACTCCAAAAGCCTGTCCTTTGACAAAAAGTGAATAAATTTACAAAAACCTGAAATCACCTGTATCAGAACTCTGGAAACTAATCAAAAGTTTATAGTAACCAGGAAAATACTTATTAAAGAAAGAAAAAAAAAACCTAGCATAATCTAGGAAACAGCACTTTTTAGTACTTCAACTTACTCTGACCTTATCTTGCACTTTTGGCCAGGAAATGATTTCTACTTAGGGGTAGACAGGATACTCACTATTTCTCTTCTTGTGTCTTTATGCTAAGATGCCACACAAAAACAACTGAGGTAACCAATTCATAGGAAAGTGGCTGAACAGGCACAGCACTAATTAACTTTTAGTCATGTTTATGGGATGGAAAGAATCAAATCCTAATAGGTAAGCAAATCATCTATAGATTTTATTCAGTATAGAACTTACCTAAAATTAAGTCTTCACAAAATCAAATGCCAAAATGTAACAAGAACAAACTAACACTGTCACTAACAATGACAGAATTTATTTACAATATACTTACAATGGATACCTTCTAATGATCTTCCCAACAACAAACTTTAGAGAAAAGCTAACCATTCCCAACAACAAACTTTAGAGAAAAGCTAACCATTACAGTAGCTACTAGCCATGTATGTGGCTATTTAAATTAATAAAAATTGGGGCACCTGGCTGGCTCAGTCAGTAGAGCATGCAACTCTTGATCTCATAGTCATGAGTTTGAACCCCACAGTGGGTGTAGAGATTACTTAAAAAAATAAAAAATCAGGGGCCCCTGGGTGGCTGAGAGGGTTGAGCCTCTGCCTTTGGCTCAGGTTGTGACCTCAGGGTCCTGGGATTGAGCCCCATCCATACTGGGCTTTCTGCTCGGCAGTGAGCCTGCTTCCCCCTCTCTCCCTGCCTGCCTCTCTGCCTACTTGTGATGTATGTCTCTGTGTGTCAAATAAACAAATAAACAAAATATTTTAAAAAATCAAATATGAGGGGCGCCTGGGTGGCTCAGTGGGTTAAAGCCTCTGCCTTCGGCTCAGGTCATGATCCCAGGGTCCTGAGATCGAGCCCCACATCAGGCTCTCTACTCAGTGGGAAGCCTGCTTCCTCCTCTCTCTCTGCCTGCCTCTCTGCCTACTTGTGATCTCTGTCAAATAAATAAAAAGTCTTTTAAAAAAAAATCAAATATGAATTCCTTTACAAAATTAAATAAGATTTACAAATTTCAGTCACACTGGCCATATTCTGAGTGCCCCACAGCCATTACAGAGCCTTCCCTTGGACAGTGCAGCTTTTAAGAGATCAAATAGAGGATAGGCCTGTCAAGTAATACTTTGTATCCTGAAGACAAACGACTATGGGGCCTAATCAGATGCATTACTCAAAAAATTTATTAAGTGTTTACCATCTGCTCTAAGAATAGAGCAGATGATAAAGTCACTACATCCACGGAACTCAAGTTGCTGGGGGAGGGGGGAACACAGACAAGTAAAAATATACTACAATTTCTGTGATGAGTACTGTGAAGAAAAATAAACAGGTAAAGAGCTAGGATGAGGTAAGGCTTTTCTTTTCTCAGAAGTGATGTGTGCACCTTAAAGTAACCAGGCTAGTGCCTGAGATAATACACAGTGTGAGAAAGGGTCCTCTGGAGCCATCTAAGCCCTTTAAAGCACTAAGTATGCAGACTTTGAGCTTATGGAACACACAGAATGACTCTCTCCACAGCTCCAAAACCAGGATGCAACAAATATTTAGTTCATTAAATAGATGAAGTGGATCTGACTGGTCTACACTTGTAAGTCTACTACAAAGATACTCAGATTAAATATAAATGAAGGGATGCAAGTGGTCCTATTGTGCAGTGGGAGAATACATTAGGGGAAAAATACAAATGGAAACTCTTTCAAACTCATTCGTGAATGTGTGAAATAAAGTTAAAAACCAAATCTGATTGGGGTGCATGGGTGGCTCACTAAGTTAAGCATCCAACTCTTAGCTTAGGTTCAGGTCATGAGATCTAATCCTGGGTATGGCTCCATGCTCAGCAAGGAGTGTGTTTGAGATTCTCTCCCCTTCCCTCTCCCTCTGCTACTCTCCCTGCTCGTGTGTACCCCCACACCACACAATCTCTCAAACAAATAAAATCTAAAAACAAAACAAAACACACAAAAAAACCTAAATCTGATCACTCTATATGATACTTGTATACTCTGTGTTATGGTATCATCTGTCCTCGTTTTTTTTTTTAAGATATGCAAGAGCTTTTATGGGCATAATTTCATAGGGACTACTTGCTTGGATAAACATTCATTACGTGAGCTAATATACTGACTTATTTTCTAACATAAACTTTGGCCAGAATATTCTACTTATTAGAAGCATAAACACATCAGTCCTTAAAATACATGTTTTCTTTTAGAGTGATTCTCTAATTTGACTGAATCTTCAAGACTGAAAAGAGTTCCATATATAGATCATTGATCTCTCTATATGTACTCAATTTCTAAATAAAGACCTTAAATGATATATGAAATTATTTTTTTCTTATAAGTGTTCCTTATTTTTATTCTCTCAAGAACTGACCTTATAGTCTCTCCATGCCTGTTATATCTGTATCAACTCTAACCTAACTCAAGACTGCAATAGAACAGCAATACATACTTTCAATTGCCAAGTAAATTTTCCGCTCTCCTTCCTTAGGTTCTTTTCCAGGTGGGAAATATGTTCCTCTGATTGTAATTGCAGCTTCAGAATATTCACTGATTCTCTGCAGAGCTTCCTTAGAGGTAACCTTCCACCTAGCAGTCTATGAAACAAAGAGTGGGGGAAAAATATCACTTTACAACAGGACAAAAACCTGGTGTATTGACAAAGAATAGGCTAGTTAAATAATATTATGATCAATATCAAGAATATAATTAACACCTTCACATAAAATCCTTAGATCCTAATGTAACTAGAATATATTTATATAAATAAAATTTCTATTGTTGTCTCCCTCATCAAATAAAAAGTGAAGTAGCTATTAAAATGTTCATGGGTTTTAAAGAAGGTATTTTTGCTCCTCAAGAAGAGTTTTTACTCCATGATTTAAAAAAGGTTGAAAACTATTACTTGCCTGTGGGAAGTCATTGATCTCTAATTCTTCCTCATATCTCTTAAAAGATTCATTCTGTCCACCATCCTGTCTCTCCTCTTCTTGTTTCTCCAAAGGCACATAATTGAGCTTGGCATTAATCTTTTCAGCAAGTTGCTCTGCAATGGTTTTGGCAGACACAGTGGGAGCCAGGATGGTGCCACCTCTGAGAATTGCATTGGTGGCCTGTTGCATCACATCCTGCAGTTAAAGAAGACCTACAGTCAAATCTCAAATGAGGGCAGAGATAAGATCAGGATCCTACCACAAATTATCCTCTGGAAAGCCACTAAATAGAAGCATCTTTCTATTGCAGAGTCCTACTCAAGTGTAATTTAGCAGTACATATTAATAGTTTAATATATCTATCTCCCTTACACTGATGAGAAAAATAAAGAATATTCAACTCTATTCTTAAAAGTTCTACTGGATCAAAATTAGGTAACTCTTGATATCAAATATAGTAAAACGTTTCTAAATCATTTATAAAACTTTGCGGCTCCTTAGAGTTTCCTCTAAATTAGCAACTTTGTCCACTACCACTGAACTCTCCTCCTCCCACAACCCAAGCCCATGTCCAATAAATGACAGTAAATGACTGACCTACCTTTTTACTTTATTTTGTACCTAAACCTTTTAATTTGAACTTAATTTTACTATATGCCTAATGTGGGTAGTACAGGTAGTACATGACTCAAACCTCAAGCTTTTCTAACAATGAGAAGGCGTGGCTATTTGCTTTCACCAGTAAAGAGTTATTAGCAATAATAATCCCAGGGAATATTAGATTAGGCACTATAATCCCCGTTTTCAGAGGAAATAAGGCATGAGTATAGCAGACATTTCATGGTAACTCACTGGCTAAACACTTGATTTAGCCAAGCAGCAGAGAAGAGATTCTTGCTGGCTCAACAAAACAAACAGAAACCTGAGACTCTAAGCCTCGACTGCAGCTGCCTCATTAAGTCAGTCCACTAGCATCTGGCTTCTTCCTTCCGGCTTGGGTGTTACAGTCCTGAAGCTATCCAACCTACTAGACAGAGGGTTCTATACCTTCACAAACTCTCAAAAACTTCAAAACACTGTTAAAATACACAAACTATTCTTTGGGAATGCTATGAAAATTTACTCTTAGTTAAAAATTAAATTGGTAGTTTTTTAAAATTTAGGGGCACCTGGGTGGCTCAGTGGGTTAAGCCTCTGCCTTCAGCTCAGGTCATGATCCCAGCGTCCTGGGATTGAGCCCCATGTTGGGCTCTCTGCTCAGCGGGGAGCCTGCTTCTCCCCTGCCCCTCTGCCTGCCTCTCTGCCTACTTGTGATCTCTGTCAAATAAATAAATAAAAATCTAAAAAAAAAATTTAACTAATAAAAAAAAGCTCTCAAGAGAAAGATGGCATGTGAAATATTTAACACATTTTCCACTGGTTAAGCCCATGTTAGTTTGAGTTATGTAACCAGGTATTACACTTCCGAGGAATTGTTTGTGTGCCCAATAAATCATCCAATAAAAGCAGATCAAGAAAGAAAAAGCAGAGTGGCTGGGTGGCTCAGTCAGTTAAGCAACTGCCTTCGGCTCAGGTCGTGATCCCAGGGTCCTGGAATTGAGCCCCACATAGGGCTCCCTGCTGAATGGGGAGTCTGCTTCCCCTACATCCCTCCCCCAGCTTGTGCTCTCTTTTTCTCTCTCAAATAAATAAGTAAAATCTTAACAAAAAAAAAAAAAGGGAAAAAGAAAGGGAGTTATTTCCTTAAGATTTTGGTAAGCTCAATCAGAATATTACTTTAAAAAACAATCAGCAGCTAACTTCCTTCAGTTAGGAGTTCCAAAATAGGCATTAGGACTTCTGTTAACCATATAAGAGGCATTATCCAAATGCAGTAATTAAAGAATTCTGTATTCAGATTAAGTTAAATTCCCACTAACTCAATGTCTAGAACAACTGGTTCACTTGCGCTGACATAAAAAGTAATGACGTAAACTTGGAACAAATTACTTAATACCTGAGACTCAATGCCCAAATTCTTCTGAGCATTGATTCTAAGAGCCAATCTCTTAGCAATTTCTAATTTCTCAGCATTTCCTGCAGTTGGAGCAGGAACACTGGATGTTCCAGGAGCAGCCATATCTTTAACTCTCTTCTTTGAATTAAACATACTTTCAATTTGTTCATCAATCTAAATAAGAAAAAAAAAAGATTAATAAAAATTGGATTAAAAATACCAATTTAGATATATCCACAGAAACTAATAAAGAATATTTCTATCAAATGACTAGAACTAGACACTTGTATTTATGTTAATTCAAGCACACAGACCAACAGGAAAACAGACCAGCTATTTGCTGAGGGTAGCACATTTTAAAAAATCAGTTACTTATGGCAGGAGAAACGAAAAAGAGTAAGAGAAAGAAAACAGAATACAATGCCACATGAACCAAGTGAGCACACTCCTAAGTGGTCCAGAAAATACATCCCAGTTTAGCAATTGAGGAACATGCACTGTCAAGACAGAGCACCCAACATGTCAGTATGACTTGAGGCTAAATTAAACTGCAATTAAAGAGGCTGGAAAAAGGGCAGTGTAACTCAAGGCCAGCAGGCCACTAGAAATATAGTCAACAGTTCTCAGGAAGAATGGTTCATGTTCCTAAGGCAGGGGTCCCCAATCCTTCCCAACTTCTAAATGTAAATGGATTTGCCTTAAAAACTGGGTAACAGAAAGGCACCTGGGGGGCTTCGTTAGTTAAGTGTTTGCCTTCAGCTCAGGTCATGATCCTAGGGTCCTGGGGTGGAGCTGCACGACAGGCTCCCTGCTCAATGGGGAGTCAGCTTCTCCCTTTGCCCCCTCCTCACTCATGGTCTCTCGCTCTCTCCCCCAAATAAATAAAAACTTAAAAAAAAATATTGGGTAACAGAATCAGAAAATAAGCTTTACTATTTAATTCCTTTGAAACCAAAAAAGGAAAAAAAGTAAGGTTGGTTTCCTCACCAAAGCAAGAAAAAAGGATGACTGCTTCAGCTCTTCCAGGAGCCATGTAAGTCCAACTGTAACTGTGTCATCCTGACTGGACACACCTACCTCATAAGCTATTTGCATTTCCTTTTAAAGATGCCTTCTGCCCAACAATGACTATTGATAATACCCACTAAAGAGAAACAAACCCCTTTATATACTTAAATTAAGCTAAGAAGGCCTTATGTGCTAAAACTCAAACCCAGGGAAGAGGATGGGTAAGGTTTAAAAATTAATTAGGTGGGGCACCTGGGTGGCTCAGTCAGTTGAAGCATCTGACTCGTGATTTCAGCTCAGGTCATGATTTCAAGGTTGTGAGACTGAGCCCTGCATAGGGCTTCACGCTCAGTGCTGATTCTGTTTGAGATTCTCTCCCTCCATCCTTCTGCCCTTCTTCCTGGTCATGCTTACTCTGTCTCTCTCACAAATTAATAAATAAGGAAAAAAACTAACCAGATTCAATGAGATTCAAAATAATGTTCAAGGTAACAAACAAAACTGAGCCTGGGTGGCACAGTAGGTTAAAACATATGACTCCTGATTTCTGCTCGGGTCATGATCTCAGGGTTGTGAGATTGAGCCCTGAGTCAGTCTCCATGCTGGGTGTGCATCTTGCTTAAGATTCTCTCTCTCCCTCTGCCCCTACCCACCCTAAAAAAGAAAATAAAACTGGGGGGTGATTTCAAAGCAGGGCCATCAATTCTTTAATATTCTTCTTCTTCAGTGGAGCCTCTCCTTGAGGGTGGGCTGGACTTAGTGACATATTTCTAAGAGCCAGAATAAAGTAGTAGTGCCAGTGTGTGACTTTAGACATTAGTCATAAAAGGCCTTAAGGCTTCCTCTTTGCTCATTGAGTCCTTTAGCTCAATCACTTTGGGAAAAGCCTACTGCCATGTTGTGAGGACACACAGGCAGAGGAAAGAAAAGAGGTATCCTGCCAACAACACAGTGAGTGAGCCATCTTAAAAGAACATGATCCTCTATCAGTCAAGCCCTCAGATTGCCATGCCCTGGGACACCAGCTTTACTGCAACCTCAGTGAGACCCTAAGCCAGAACTACCAGGCTAAACTAAACTGCTCCTGATCTCCTACCCCCCCAAAAATGTGACATAATAAATGTTTGTTGTCTTACCTACAAGGTTTTGGATTGATTTGTTATACCATAAGCAAAAACTATAACACTGACTTAATTAATTTTAAGTCAGTATGGTATACTAGAAAGAAATGGTGTATGGTTAATGAGAGATGTGGGGTCCGGGGCTGTCTGAGCTTAAGAGGCAATGTGGCTGTGGGCCAAATACTTTTTCTGGGTATCAAATTCCTCAAACAACAAGATCAGAATGAATTCCTGATTCTAAAATTATGTCCTGAGCTTAGGTTTAATCGAAAAAACAAAAAACCCCAAAACTTCTATGATCAATGATCAAATGCATTAGACACTTTCTGAGTTAAACAAACTTCTTGAATTGAGGATTTTATACATACTTTGATATGCTAATACCATTACTAGTGGTATACACTAGGAAGAGTTTCCAAAAATTATTTTATAATGAAAACATGCTCTTCTAAAGCTATAGCTTCTTTGGGTCCAAAGGATACTCTGTAAAACCACGAATATGCTGAGTTCTCAGGGCCCCTCTTCACTGGGTCACAAATAATACCATTAGCTAAGACCATGACATCTGAAGTAAGATTGGAATGGGTACAGGGCCCAGCTCATTCCATTAATTGCTATGTAAATTTGAAAAGATTATTTCTAAGTCTCATTCTCCTCAATTATAAAATGGGAATACTCTTTCGAGTATCTACCTTGTCTGGATAATGTGCAGAACTAAATGAAGTATTCCCTGTAAAGCATCTGACACAATGCATGGCACTTAGTAACACTCAAAAATGCTAACTATTACTGCTTTTTGTTTTCTAAGTAAGTTCTACTATACCCAACATGGGTGGGGCTTACATTCAGGACCCAAAGATGAAAACTCACATGCTCAACCAACTGAGCCCCCCAGGAGTCCTGCTGACTACCATTAATGACAGTATTCTATAACGACTAAGTTTAACAAAATAAAAATATTAGTACTAATATTATAAAAGACATGGGGAGCCAGGGACTCTTCACACCACTACGGGGGATGCAGACTAGTATTCACTTTGCAGGAGGACAATCTAACATAATGTTTCAGAACCAAATTCGATACACCCTTTAGCCTAGCAATGCCATTTACACATTCAACTTCAACTTAATCTGATGAATGTGCAAAATTAAATGCGCAAAGATAAGTAGTAAAGAACAGTTTATGATTAAATATATTCCAAATATGAATATGCAGAAACAACCCACATATTCGAAATTTGGGGTTTGATTAAACTGTGGAACATCCATATAATGAAATATTATGTAACCATTAAGAATAATGTAAGGGGGCGCCTCTGCCTTTGGCTCAGGTCATGATCCCAGCATTCTGGGATCGATCCCCGCACCGGGCTCTCTGCTCAGCAGGGAGCCTGCATCCCTTCCTCTCTCTCTCTGCTTGCCTCTCTGCCTACTTGTGATCTCTGTCTGTCAAATGAATAATAAATAAAAATCTAAAAAAATAATAATAATAATGTAAGAATGAGGGGTGCCTGGGTGGCTCAGTCAGTTTAGCATCTAACTCTTGATTTTGGCTCAGGTCATGATCTCAAGGTTGTGGGAGTAAGCGCTGGTAGGGTCTGTGCTTAGCAGGGAGTGTGCACAAGATTCTCTCCTACCCCTTCTTCCATTTGGGCATGCGGGCGCGCTCTCTCAAATAAATAGAAATAAATCTTTAAAAATTCACTTTAAAAAAATGCAAGAATGAATTTACTAAAACGAGAAGATTTTAACCTAAGACTATTGTTGTTAAAGAAGGTTTATAAAGGGCGCCTGGGTGGCTCAGTGGGTTAAGCCGCTGCCTTCGGCTCAGGTCATGATCTCAGGGTCCTGGGATCGAGTCCCGCATCAGGCTCTCTGCTCAGCAGGAAGCCTGCTTCTCTCTCTCTCTCTCTCTCTCTCTCTGCCTGCCTCTCTGTCTACTTGTGATCTCTCTGTCAAATAAATAAATAAAATCTTTAAAAAAAAAAAAAAGAAGGTTTATAAAGCAGTATGGCCTCATTTTTATGAAAATACATAAATATGGATAGGGCATATGAGAATATACACAGAGACAGAGAAAGGGTGGGGAAGGGCACATACCAAAAAGGTTTGCAATAACTGGCTATCTCAACAAGAGATAAGAAAGGTAAGACCTCCAGCACGAAAGCAACAGTGCTTCAACTGGCAAGAAGGAGGCTTAGAAAAAGGACACTTACGTCAACTGCAGCATCCTCATCATCGGAATCTTGCAGACCGAGAGCCGCTTTTTGCAACTTTTTCCTCTCATTAGCCAAAGCTTGTTCTGTTTCATCAAACTTGAATCCCTTACCAGAGAACCCACTACTCTTTTTAATTATTTTCCCTTCCTTTCAAGGAAAAATAAAAAAGGTTAGTTTCATACTAAAAAACTTTAGTGTTCAAGAACTTAGGAATAATTATTTTTCAAGGTCGTACAGGTAAATGTAATAAACAGTTCATCTAGCACAAGAACAACAAAAAAAAGAACTCTACGTAATACTGAGCTGAAGCAAGAGAGGATTTTGTTTTCACTCCTTTTCCCCCTCCTAAAGAGATAAAATAATCCCATCAAGGTTTACAAGTATTAAATATTCAACACAATAATGAGCTGCATAAAAACAATGGGAGTTAAAAAAAACTCACAGCTTTCTGCTGATCTTTGAAATCACTCCAAAGTTTCTCCAGATCAGGAGGCACTGCAGTTCCCGACAATTCAAGAGCTTTAATTATGTCACCGGCATAGCGAGCTTGATCTTCTGTGATAAAAGTATATGCATAACCCTAATGAATGATGAAAAAGTGCAACTATTAGGCACTAAGAACATGACTCTTACTCAGATCACAAGATAAAATTTGAAGCACCTAATATATCCTCTTAAGACTAACTTCATTACTAAAGAATTTTTTAAAAAGGAGAGTCCTACTAAATTCTTTAATGCTACAAGTGAAATATCTAAGTTTAATATTTAAAAATAAGCAAAACCAAGGGCGCCTGGGTGGTTCAGTGGGTTTGGCCTCTGCCTTCAGCTTGGGTCATGATCTCAGGGCCCTGGGATTGAGCCCCGAATCGGGCTCTCTGCTCAGCGGGGAGCCTGCTTCCCCCTTCTCTCTCTGCCTATTTGTAATCTCGCTCTCTGTCAAATAAATAAATAAAATCCTTTAAAAATATTCTGTAGGAAGGTGCTTTCTTTAAAAAAAAATAAGCAAAACCAGAAAATGTGATTTCATGTATATAGAATTATGATTTTAGATAAATGCACAAATGCACTGTCATGCATAGGAATTTTAATATAGTACATTATTTTCCCCCTTTGTTTGCATTCCTTTCCTACACGACCTACTGCACCATTCTATTCCAACTAACTTGTATTAACTTTCTAGGATGTAGCTTTCCACATAATTTTTCCCCTATGTAGTTTTTCTTTTTTTTTTAAAGATTTTATTTATTTGACAGAGATCACAATTAGGCAGAGAGGCAGGCAGAGAGAGAGGAAGGGAAGCAGGCTCCCTGCTGAGCAGAGAGCCCAGTGTGGGGCTTGATTGCAGCACCCTGGGATCCTGACCTGAGCCGAAGGCAGAGGCTTTAACCCACTGAGTCACTCAGGCACCCCTCCCCTACATAGTTTTTAAGACCAATAAAAGATTTTAAAAATTTGTGTGTGCATATATGTATTTGTGTGTATGTACACATGCACAACTCTAGCCTTTTTCTTGCCTGAACCACAAAGCTCCTGGAGGGACTGCGGTGGGGCGGGGGAGGCCCTCAGTCCATTAAGTGTCTTCAGTTCAGGTCATGATCCCAAGGTCCTAAGATTGAGTTCTGCATTAGGCTCCTTGCTCAGCGGGGAGCCTGCTTTTCCCTCTACCTGCCACTCCCCCAGCTCGTACCCTCTCTGACAAATAAATAAAATCTTAAAAAAAAAAAAAGCTCCTGGAGACATGTGAAACCTAAGGCTTTAGAGAATCCCCAGGGAGATGATGTAGCTGACTTCATCTTTTTATAATATGCATATGTGCGTATACAAGTATATATATACACATGTACACAGACATGTGTATATGTATACACAATATATATATACATGTGTACAAAAATACATATACACACACACACACACACACACACAAATGAAGTTAGTTACAGCAATTCTTTTTTAAGGTTTGTATGCACACACACACACACACACACAAAACACATCCCATATGACAGAGACTGGATGTGGACCAAAAAGGTTACAATTTTTTACTACGTGCCCCTGTACACACTTTCCCAAATCTATAGAATAACTCAGGTTAAAAGAATAAGAGCCATCACTACTTATTAGCTGTGCAAGCTTGGGCAAGTAACTTAACTTTCATGTGCCTTAGCTTTTCTCATCTATTAACTGGGGTAATATTATTTACCTCAAAGGGAAATTGTGAGGATAAAGTGAGACAATATGTATGAAAAGCACTGAAAACAACACTTGGAACTCCATAAGAACTACATAAATACAGCCTATTGTTATTAACATTATTGCTTCACTATGTAGAAATGTCCAGGGTTGTTATCATCATCAATGCTTCCAACAACAAAATATTTTGCTGCCTTCAAGAAGAATGACTTAGACTTAAAAAAAAAAAAAAAGAATGACTTATATACTTACCAGACTACAGACGAGTTTAAAAAGCAAGTAATATACATAGCAAATGGAGTGGGACAGGGGAGTAATGAGAAAAAAGGGTGCCAGTTTTAGGAAAAAGTATATTTTATGTTCCTACATGGTAAAAATATTAATGAAAGGGGCGCCTAGGTGGCTTAGCAGGTTAAGCATCTGCCTTCAGCTCAGGTCATGATGCCAGGGTCCTGGGATCTAGTCCTGCATTGGACTCCAGGCTCAGCAGGGAGTCTGCTTCTTCCTCTCCCTCTGACCTTCCTTCCCTGGTTCATGTTCGCTCTTTCTCTCTCAAATGAAGAAATGTAAAAAATTTTTAAAAAATTAATGAAAGATCCCAAATCATATACATATATGTATATACCTACACAGAAATTTTTAGGTAGGGTAAAATAAAAAAAACCCTAAAAGAGGACATAAACAATTAATACTATCTGCCTAAATAGAACAGCCAGTTGTTTATCTGACAATTTTAATAATACTATATACAGAAATGATAAATATCTAGTCCCCATACTCTGATGATTGATCATTTTCAAAATGTCTTTGTAATTCTTATTATTTACTGCTTAAAATCCTACCCAAAAAACCTCTATATTTTATTATAATGGAAATCAACTTTAAAAAATTCTTTTTACTTTATTGCCTGCTCTTCCAGTCCGTCCTGCTCTGTGCACATAATCCTCATAATGGTTGGGGCAGCTGTAATTTACTACAAGAATCAGATGTTTCACGTCTAGACCCCGAGCAGCAACAGATGTAGCTACAAGAAGTTTGCAGGTCCCATTCTTAAAGTCATTTATGATGCTATCTCTGTCATATTGATCAATGCCTGCAAATAAATTAAAAAAAAAAAAAAAGTTATAATACCACACACTGCAATTAAATTTTTCATTTCCTCAGAAACAGAAATAGGTTAAACACAAAGTAAAGAATAAATCCAATGTACACTAACCACACGTCCGCCAACAACAGTATAAAAAATAAAACACTAAAGGCAAGATCAAAGGCTACCGCTATTAATTCATTTATGAATCTTCCAAATCTGCCCTTGTATGGTTCCCTTTCTTGTGTATAAGGATTATAAATGCAGAAGCCCCATCTCAGATTCATTTACCTATACCTGTTTGGCAGATAAAAGGCAGGTACATTCAGCCTACATTAACAGGATTTATATCGTTCTCTTTCTCTTATGGGTCAATTAGAGCCTTGCCAATCATTGTTTTTCCGAGCACCAGTAGCAGCATCACATGGGACACTGTTAGAAATGCAAAATCTCAACTCCTTCCTCAAACTACTGAATCAGATTCTACATTTTTAATAAGATCCTTAGGTGATTACACTTTCCTATTAAAGTTTGAAATACATTGGTTAAAAAGTATATACCCAATTGGTTAAATATGTTAACCAAAGAGCCTCGACGGAACTGATAAAGGAGAATGTGAAATGCCAAAATGTTCTACTGTAAGATACTCAGACTACAAACTGATTTTATGATGGAGAATTTCTAGTAATTATAAAATGGAATGGGGTAATTCTCAAACCTTGATATTGATTTCTGCAGCAGGAAATATCCTAAGACTTCACATAAGATTTGAGTTAAAAAATACAGAGAATACTGGGGTGCCTGGGGGGCTCAGTGGGTTAAGCCTCTGCTTTCGGCTCAGGTCATGATCTCAGGGTCCTGGGATCGAGCCCAGCATCGGGCACTCTGCTCAGCGGGGAGCCTGCTTCCCTCTCTCTCTCTCTGCCTACTTGTGATCTCTGTCTGTCAATAAATAAATAAAAATCTTTTTCTTTTTTTAAGATTTTATTTATTTATTTAACAGGCAGAGATCACAAGCAGGCAGAGAGAGAGAAGGAAGCAGGCTTCCCGCTGAGCAGAGAGCCCAATGCGGGACTCAATCCCAGGACCCTAAGAGCATGACCTGAGCCGAAGGCAGAGGCTTTAACCCACTGAGCCACCCAGGTGCCCCAATAAATAAAAATCTTAAAAAAAAAAAAAGAGAGGGGCGCCTGGGTGGTTCAGTGGGTTAAAGCCTCTGCCTTCGGCTCAGGTCATGATCTCAGGGTGCTGAGATCGAGCCCTGCATTGGGCTCTCTGCTCAGCGGGAAGCCTGCTTCCCCCATCTCTCTGCCTACTTGTGATCTCTGTCTATCAAATAAATAAATAAAAAATCTTAAAAAAAAAAAGAGAATACTTAACATCTATGTATGTATCAATGTTAATTAATGTTACCTAAAATTTAAATGTACTCTTCAAAGAATGAATTAAAGAAAGTATTTGGAGCTAATGTAAAAGCAAGTGGAATCTAACACTGAACCCAAAAGTCTTATAAGAAAAAGTAATGGAATCAATATCGATATAAATTAAATTTAAAAGGTACGAAAGCTTTTTAGACTGACGTATCCCAACTACTTAACTCAACTGTGCATACCTTATTCCATGAAGTGAATATAATATACTAAGTGAAGTATATGGGATATCTGTCCAACAATTAACCCTCTTCTTTTTATTTCGTTTTTGGTTTTTTCCCCAAAGATTTTATTTATTTGACAGAGAGAGAGATCACAAGTAGAGAGGCAGGCAGAGAAGAGGGGGGAAGCAAGTACCCCGCTGAGCAGAGAGCCTAATGTGGGACTCGATCCCAGGACCTTGAGATCATAACCTGAGCTAAAGGCAGAAGCTTAACCCACTTAGCCACCCAGGCACCCCAACCCTCTTCCTTTTAAACATAACCCCAAGTTCATCCAAATATCCACCCAACACACTGTCATGTATATCAAACCAGACTTGAGCCTAATTCTCAGTAGTAGGATGTGAATGAATCCCCCTCAGACTTTCTGCGCTAAGGCTGCCTTTATAGTCTAAAAATTAATAAAGATTAAACCCAGAGAGGTTTACTTTACATAAGTCATCTCCATCTATTTTTAATGTGTTAGAAACTATAACTGGGGCACCTGGGTGGTTCAGTCAGTTAAGTATCTGGCTTCAGCTCAGTTCAAGATCTCAGAGTCCTAGGATCAAGCCCCGTGTCACGCTCCACTCTCAAGGGAGTGAATTTGCTTATCCCTCTCCCTCTGACCCCCTCAACCACTCATACTCTTTGTCTCTCTTAAATAAATCAGTAAAATCTTAAAAAAAAAAAAAAAAGAATGAAAAAGAAAGAAACCAGAATGGAGAAAAATTTTTAAGTAGTTATTACCTTATTTAAAATTTTTAAAAAAGCAATTACGTATTACAATTGAAAATATTTATGTGAAAACAACCGTTCTGATATAGTAGAGTAATTTATTAAGATGCTTCACAACTTTGTAAATCTCTTTAATGTCTGGCTTAGTAGAGGACAGTTGCATGTTCTATCTTTTGCATCCAATCTGGTGTAATATAACATGCCATGAAGCCTTTAGAAAACTACTCTATACACTCCTAATGGAATGAAAGTGGAAAAGGCAAAGCACATGATGAGATTATTACACAAATACTTGTGATCTCATGAACCTCTGAAATTCTCAGAGACCCTCAGGAGTACAATACCTTAAGAACCATTAGTCATTCTGTTTGCTTATGAATGATTTAGGCATAAGCATGTGATGCAATTCTGATAAAAAAGAGACAAGAGAAGTACAGACAAGGGATTATGGAGGAAAATGTCCTTATTTACAGAAAAAAAAAAACATTTCTGGGGTGCTTGGGTGGCTCAGTGGGTTAAGTATCTGCCTTTGAATCAAGTCATGATCTCAAAAGTTCTGAGATCAAGTCCAGCATTGGGCTCCCTGTACAGCAGGGAGTCTGCTTGTTCCTCTGCCCCTCCCCCCATTCATGCTTATTCTCCCTCTCTCTCACATCAATAAATAAAATCTTACAAAAAAAGAAAAAGAAAAAACACACATTTCCCTCAATGAAGGAGAAACTATTTATTGGGCCAACCCTCCTGCAGATAACAACTATGAATTCTAAATAAAATCTTAAAAAAAAAAAAAAGGAAACACAAATATATATAAATAGGACTTCAAAATTTAAACCTTTGTGCATCAAAGGACTACCCAGAGGGTGAAAGGACATCCATAGAATGTGAGAAAATATATGTACATTGTACATCTGATAAGGGACTGCTATCTAGAATATATAAAGAAATCCTACAACTCAGCAATGGAAAAAAAAAAAAAGCTCGTTAAAAATGGGCAAAAGCGGGGCACCTGGGTGGCTCAGTGGGTTAAAGCCTCTGCCTTCGGCTCTGGTCATGAACCCAGGGTCCTGGGAACAAGCCCCGCATCGGTTTCTCTGCTCAGTGGGGAGCCTGCTTCCTCCTCTCTCTCTGCCTGCCTCCCTGCCTACTTGTGATCTCTGTCAAATAAACAAAATCTTTAAAAAATAATAATAATAAATAAATAAACAAGTTATTTTTTTAAAATGGGCAAAAGCCTAGAATATTTCTCCAAAGAGGATGTACAAATGCCAAATAAGCACCTATAAAGATGCTCAATCTCAGTCATTAGAAAAATGGAAATCAAAACCACAATGACATACTACTTCACATTCACTAGCAGAGCTATTATTAAAACAAGAGAAAATAACAAGCTACGCCTGGGTGGCTCAGATGGTTGGGCATCTGCCTTTGGCTCGGGTCATGATCCTGGGATTGAGCCCCACGTTGGTCCTGGGATTGAACCCCACGTTGGGCTCCCTACTTGGTGGGAAGCCTGCTTCCCTCTCCTTCTGTTTCTCCCCCTTCTTGTGCTCTCTAGCTTTCTCTCTCTCTGTCAAATGAATAAATAAAATCCTTTTTTAAAAAAAGATTTTATTTATTCATTTGACAGAGAGATCATAAGTAGGCAGAGAGGCAGGGGGAAGCAGAATCCCTGCCAAGCAGAAAGCCTGATACAGGGCTCAATCCCAGGACCCTGAGATCATGACCCAAGCCAAAGGCAGAGGCTTACCCCACTGAGTCACCAGGCACCCCAAATAAATAAAATCTTTAAAAGAAAAAAAGGAAAAACGAGTGCTGGACAGGCTGTGGATAAACTGGAACCCTACAACACTGCTGGTGAGAATACAAAATGGAGCAACGGCTATAAAAAATAGTATGGTGGTTTCTCAAAAAGTTAAAAATAGACTTACCATATGACCCAGCAATTCCACTTGCAGCTATACACCCAAAAATGAAAACAGGGGGCACCTGGGTGGCTCAGTGGGTTAAGCCTCTGCCTTCAGCTCGGGTCGTGGTCTCAGGGTCTTGGGTTCGAGCCCCACATCGGGCTCTCTGTTCAGCAGGGAGCCTGCTTCCCTTCCTCTCTCTCTCTCTGCCTGCCTCTCTGCCTACTTATGATCTCTGTCTGTCAAATAAATAAAATCTTAAAAAAAAAAAGTATCTTAAAAAAAAAAGAAATGAAAACAGGAACTCCAACAGATTCTTGTACACCAGTGTTCAAAGTAGCATTATTCACAGAAGCCAAAAGGCAGAACAACCCAAGTGTCCATCCACAGATGAATGAAAAAAGGAAATGTGGTATATGCATGCAATGGACTCTTACTTAGCATTAACAAAAAGGAAATTCTTCTAACACCATACTTAAAAATAAACTCAAAATGGGTTAAAGACTTAAATGTGAGAACTGAAATCATAAAAATTCTAGAAGAGAGCACAGGCTCTCTGACACCAGCCAAACCAACATTCTCATAGATACATCTCCTGAGGCAAGTGAAATAAAAACACAACTGAGCCTGGCTAGCTCTGTCAATGGAGTGTGCAACTCTTGATCTTAGGATTGTAAATTTAAGCCCCGCACTGGCAAAGAGATTACTTAAAAATAAAATCTTTAAAAAAATAATAATAAAACAAAGAAGGGCGCCTGGGTGACACAGTCGGTTAAGCATCATCAAAAAGAATGAAACGTATTTGCAACAATGTGGACGGAACTAGAGGGTATTATGCTAAGCAAAGTAAGTCAGAGAAAGACAAATACCATATGCTCTTACTCATATGTGAAATTTAAAAAACAAAACAGATGGAGCATAGGAGAAGGGAGATCAGAGAGGGAGGGGAGATGAAGTCAGAGAAGGCGACAAGATGAAGTCTGAGAGGGAGACAAACCGTAAGAGACTTTTAATCATAGGAAACAAACTGAGGGTTACTGGAGGGGAGGGGAGAGAGGAGATGGGGTAACTGGGTGACAGACATTAAGGAGGGCATGTGATATAAGGAGCACTGGGTATTATATAAGACTGATGAATCACTGACCTCTTCCCCTGAAACTAATACATTATATGTTAATTGTATTGAAATTTTAAAAAAAAAATCGGCAGAAGACATGAACAGACACTTGTTCAAAGAAGACATCTAGATGGTCAAGAGACAAATGGAAAGATGCTCAACACTGCTCATCAGGGAAATGCAAATAAAAATTACAATAAGATATCATTTCACACGTGTTAGAAAGGCTAAAATCAACAACACAAAATGTGAAGAAAAAGGAATCCTCAAGCGCTCTTGGTGGGAATGCAAATTGGTGTAGCTACTGTGGGAAGACTGTATAGAGGTTCCCCAAAAACTTAAAAATAGAACTGCCCTATGATCCAGTAATAGCACAACTGGGTATTTACCCAAGGAATAAAAAAACACTCATTCAAAAGGACATATGCACGCCTGGGTTTATAGCACTATTATTTAAAATACAGAAGCAAGGGAACCTGGGTGATGCAGTCACTGAGTGAGCGTCTGCCTTTGGCTCAGATCATGATCCCAGGTCCTGGGATTGAGCCCAGTGTTGGGCTCCCTGCTCTGTGGGAAGCCTGTTCCCTTTCTCCCACTCCCCCTGCTTATGTTCCCTCTTTCACTGTGTCTCCCTCTGTCAAAACAAAGAAACAAACAAATATGCAAGTAAATAAATAAATAATTTCAGAAATAAATAAATAATCAAATAAAAATATGGAAGCAGCCCAAGTATCCATCAGTAGATGAATGGATAAAGATGTAGGGTGTGAGGTGCCTGGGTGGCTCAGTGGTTAGGCCTCTGCCTTCGGCCCAGGTCATGGTCCCAGGGTCCTGGGATTGAGCCCCGCATCAGGCTCTCTGCTCAGTGGGGAGCCTGCTTCCCTTCTTCTCTCTGCCTGCCTCTCTGCCTACTTGTGATCTCTGTCAAATAAATAAATAAAATCTTAAAAAAAAAAAAAGATGTAGGGTATATGTATGCATATATACAAGAAACAGACTCTTAAATAGACCACAAACTAAGAGTTACCCCTGGAGATGTGGCGGGGGGTGAAATAGGTGATGGGAATTAAGAGTACACTTACGACAAGCACTAAGTGATGTGCAGAATTACTAAATCACTATATTATACAACTGAAAGTAATACAGACTGTGTTAACTATACTAGAATTAAAATACTTACTAAAAAAAATAAGAAATTCTGGGGGCACCTGGGTGGCTCAGTCAGTTAAGCATCTGCCTTCAGCTCAGGTCATGATCCCAGGGTCTTGGGATCAAGCCTCACACTGGGCTCCCTGCTCAGCGGAGAGTCTGCTTCTCCCTCTCCCTCTGCCTGCCTCTCTGCCTACTTGTGCTCTCTCTCTCTCTGTCAAATAAATGAATAAAATCTTAAAAATAAAAAAAAGAAAAAAATAAATTCTGATACATGATAAAACATCAATAAGCCTCACCAAAAATTATGCCACTGATTTATATACTTAAAAATAGTTAAAACAGTAAATTTTACATAATGTATATTTTATCCCAGTAACAAAAAAAGGGGAAAATATGAGATATTTTCAAACATTAAAGGTTAACCAAATATATACCGTCAAAGTACCTAAAAGCCCTTTTATTTACATCCACAATGACCTATGGTATGGTAGACTGTATTTTCCAAAGATGATAGCAGAAGTATGGCCTATTCTGTATACTATTCTGCATAGGGAATGATCCTCGTATCAAGAATTGGGAGTCTATGCCTCTATCCCCTTGAATCTCAGCCAGTCCTGGGACTATTTTGACCTACAGAATATTGTGAAAATGAAAGTTCTGCCAACTCCCAGTATCATCCTTAACTGGCCTTATCAGCTTTCGGTCCCTGCCTTCCAGCCAGGTAGTCCCACGGAGAGGTCTGCAAAGGGAAGCACCATCACCCCTGGCCAATTGCCTTACTGAGCTCAGTCAAGAGCCAGGGCCAACATGCCAGCCACCTAAGTTAGGGCAATTTGGAAATGGACCCCCAGTCCCAATTAAGCCACCCCAGTAAATACAACATGAAACAGAAACTAGATAATATGTGCTGAGCTCCACCCGAAGTGCAGATTTATAAATAAATGACACTTGCCACTACATTCTGGGGTGGTTGATTACAAAGCCACTGACCACCAGAACACTTAGTGTTCTAAGTCCCACATACATTTAACAATGGAAATGTTACATCAAAACCAAAATGTTGGGGCACCTGGGTGTCTCAGTGGGTTAAAGCCTCTGCCTTCGGCTCAGGTCATGATCCCAGGCTCCTGGGATCAAGCCCCGCATTGGGCTCTCTGCTCAGCAGGGAGCCTGCTTCCTCCCTCTCTCTGCCTGCTTCTCTGCCTCCTTATGATCTCTGTCTGTCAAATAAATAAATAAAATCTTTAAAAAACCAAAAAACAAAAATGTTATTTTCAATTAAAGGTCTAATGTAAATCATTAAAATTCTACGTAGCATGGCACAATGGAACGGATTTAACATGAAACAGAAAATGTTAAGTTCAATTTCTCTTTATCTGATTTATGCTATACGGTTTGGTCAAATCGATGTCTTCTTTTCTTTATCTCTAAGATGGAACAATAATACTGAACCTCCCCATAGAGTTGTGAATAAAAACTGAGATAGATGATATGAAATCTGGCTCTAAATTATAGTACATGGTAAATATTATCATTCAGAACACAGCAGTGCTTGGCCAAATTAACTACTGAACAGATACTTCACTAAACATTACCTCCATGAAGAGACATGCAAGGATAAGATGCTCTCATTAAATCTTTCAGAAGACCATCAGCATGTTCCTGCTTATCCACAAATATAATGACAGATCCTGATTCTTGATAATGGCCAAGAAGCTCAAGTAACTTCAAGAATTTCTTTTCTTCTTCAATCACAATCTGAAAATATCAAATTGTACCAAGTTAATGGGAGTAAAAATGCAGATATATCTCTTAAGTAAAAATATTTATTTTATTTGTGACAAATGGCTAAATGACAACATCTTGCTATATCTTTAGAAATGGGAAGTAAAATGTTGATTTTAACCAATTAACCAGTAAAACAAAAAAAAGTCTAACTTTGAGAGAAGGGACTTGCAAATGTGAGCAAACCATCATCTAGTTCCCTCTGCCTGACGTCACATCCTATTAACTAAAGAATAAAATAGGTATATGATATTTCCATCCACCAGTCCCATCTCTTCTAAAGGGAGGAACTAAAAAGAGCATTTTAAACATGTTGTTCCGGGGTTCCTGGGTGGCTTGGTGGGTTGGGCCTCTGCCTTCGGCTCGGGTCATGGTCTGGGGATTCTGGGATCAGGCACCGACCGTGTCGAGCTCTCTGCTTGGCGGGAAGCCTGCTTCCTCCCTCCCTCTCTCTCTCTCTGCCTGCCTCTCTGCCTACTTGTGGTCTCTGTCTGTCAAATAAATAAATAAAAATAAAATCTTTAAACATGCTATTCCAAGGAACTGCTTATTCAAGTTTATCAGATAAAATATTAATGGCTGAGCTGTATCCTATTTAAGATTAGATAATTACCTGCCTTCATCACAGTGATCCCCAAAGGATCACATACTGCCTAAACATCCAGGAAACTGAGGATTTCCTAAAGATTGTACCCACCACTTGTTGTTCCACATCTGAGCAAACCACACTCCTGCCCCCAACTTGCACTTCAATGGGTTTACTCAAGATTCGGCGAGCCAAAGCCTCCATAGCTCTGGGAAAAGTAGCTGAAAACATAACTGTCTGTCGATCAGGACGGACATTATCCACAATGCGCATGACCTAAAAACACATTGCAAATAAATATGGTGAGTATAGTCTTCAAAAATCGCATGATGTTAAAACCAAATAGAATGGGCACCTGGGGGCGCCTGGGTGGCTCAGTCGGTAAGCATCTGCCTTTGGCTCAGGTCATAATTCCAGGGTACTGGGATCGAACCCCACATCCGGCTCCCTGCTCAGCAGGAAACCTACTTCTCCCTCTCCCACTCAGTCTACTGGTGTTCCCCCTCTCGCTGTGTCTCTCTCTGTCAAATAAATAAATAAATAAATAAATAAATAAATAAATAAAATAAAATCTTAGAAAAGAGAACACAATAGAAAAGAAAAGGAACATCTAGATTGCTCAGTCAGTTAAGCATCTGCCTTCAGCTCAAGTCATGATCTTGGGGTCCTGGGATCAAGCCCTGTATCAGAATCCCTGTTTGGTGGGGAGTCTGCCCCTCTCTCTCACTTAAATAAAATCTTTAAAAACAAACAAACAAACAAACAAAAAAACGGCACCTAGGTAGCTCAGTTAAGTGTCTGCCTTGGGCTCATGTCATGATCCTGGGGTCCTGGGATTGAGTCCCGTATCAGGCTCCCTGCTTAGCAGGGAGCCTGCTTCTCCCTCTCCCTCTGCTCCCCCGCTGGAGATAGCATCTCTATCTTAAACAAATAAAAACTTTTTAAAAATAAATAAACAAAAATAACCCCTGACACACACACAAGAAGGAAATTTTGTGAACATTTATTCAGTGACTTTTAAAATTGTTACCTTCAAATAACTGATTTTAACCCATACTTTTCTTTGTTCCGTTTCCTCCCTCCTAAGAATGATATTACAGTTATTCACATATTTAGGAGCCATCTGTCACCTCTCTCTCTCAATGATCTAACACCCAATCCACCAACAAATTCAGTATTCTCAATCTTAAAGCTTTATCTGGGATACAACTATTCTCCCCTGGTATCACTGTTTTCTGTCAGTTATTCAAAACATTTTTGTTGAGCTACTATATCATAAGGCATTTGCTCTAGCTGCTTGCAATATGCAGTAAAAACAGACAAAACCTTGTCTTCATGGAGTTTGTATTCAAAGGAAGGTGGACAGATAAATACATTATATGTCAAAGACTGATATAAGCAACAGGAACACAGAGAACAACAAAGGCTGACATAATGTTGAGGGGGTAGGATATAGGTACCTCTAGGACTCTTGTGATACCTGGTATAAACCAGAAAAATAGAAGTAATGATCAGGGAGACAGTGGTGAGAAACTGGAAATTGGAATGGATAAAGGTCTTGCCAGGAATACACAGAATTCTAGGACATTTTCCCTCCAATCAATGATGTGAAATCTGTGAAAGGAGCAGTCCTACCCAAGGCACTTGGAAATCCTGGGTTCCTTCCCTAAACCTAAACATCTCTTATCTGGATTATTCCAACTATCTCTCTTTGAACTCCTACCCACCTCTGCTGAATTTTTAAATCATAAATGAAATTTTAGGGGCACCTGGGTAGCTCAGTCGTTAAGCATTTGCCTTTGACTTAGGTCATGATCCTGGAGTCCTGGGATCAAGCCCCACATCAGGCTCCCTGCTCAGCTGGGAGCCTGCTTCTCCCTCTGCCTCTTCCCCGGCTTGTGTTCCCTCTCTTGCTGTCTCTCCCTCTGTCAAATAAATAAATAAAATCTTTAAAAAAATAAAAATAAATGAAATTTTATCAAATGCCTTTTCCACATTTTAGATAACGGTAAGGTTTTTTCCTATTCTAATAATAGGGTGGATTATACTTTTTGATTGTTTTTTTCTTTTTTTAAGACAAGATTTATTTTATTTTAAAGATTTTATTTATGAGAGAGAAAAAGCATACGCACCAGAAGGGGGCAGGGGAGAGAAAAGGAGACTCCCCACTGTGCAGGAAGCTGGATGGACACAGGGCTTGATTTCCAGGGCCCTTGGACCATAACCTGAGCAGAAGGCAGACGCTTAGCCAACTGAGCCACCCAAGTGACCCAATTTTATCTTAGAGAGTGTGTGCAAATAAGGGAAGGGACAGAAGCAGAGAATTTTCAAGCAGAATCCCCACTGAGTACAGAGCCCACTGCAGGGCTTGATCTCAGAACCTGTGAGATCAGGACCTGAGCCAAAACTAAGAGTCAGTGATTAAAACCAACAGAGCCACCCAGGTGACTCTTAGTTGATTTTTCTAACATTAAACTAGCCTTTGCATCTAAACAATACTAACTTCAATGTGATTTATTATTATAAGCATTACTATATTTGGCTAATACAATTTCTAGGGGTTCTGCATCATTGTACATTAAAATATACCTTGTTTGATTGAGATACCAATATTACATTGGTCTATATAATTAAACTGCCACTACGGAAAAGTCTGACAGTTTCTTAAAAAGTTAAACATAAATTACCACACAATTCAGAAATCCTACCTCTTGGTAGAAATGAAGACATATGTTCACTTGTAAGCAAATATTCACAGCAGCATCATCCGTTAACAGCCAAAAAGTGGAAATAATCCAAAATACTGATCAAACAATTCATGGATAAACAAAATATGATATACATCCATATGACAGAATACTAACCACTCAGCAATGAAAGATATGCTATAAGATGGACAAACCTCAAATACATTATGCTGAGTAAAATAAGTTAGATGTGTAATACATGAATTTTGTATGAAATGTCCAGAAAAGACAAATCTATAAAGATAGAACGTAGATCAGCAACTACCTCAGACTGGGGTGAATACTGGAAATGAGTAAAAATAGGCATGAGGCATCCTTCTGGTGATGGAAATGTTCTAAAACGGATTTAAAAAAAATAAAACTGGATTGTGGTGATAGCTGCACAAATGCATATTACACTAAAAACCATTATATTATACATTTAAAACAGGTGAATTTTTATGGTATATAATGAGGACTGAGAGCCCTTTTAAAAATAAAAGATTACAGGGGTGCCTGGGTGTCTCAGGGGTTAAAGCCTCTGCCTTCGGCTCGGGTCATGATCCCAGGGTTCTGGGATCGAGCCCCGCGTTGGCTTCTCTGCTCAGTGGGGAGCCTGCTTCCCTTCCTCTCTCTCTGCCTGCTTGTGATCTCTGTCAAATAAATAAATAAAATCTTAAAAAAAAAAAGATTACAATGATCTTATAAACTGTTGAGTATTCATCCTTTTTCATACTTTGAAATTATTAGGAATATAGTTATTCCTTGAATATTTGGTAGAACTTGCTAATAACATAGGAACTGGTGGTTTCCTTGTGGGAAAATTAAAAGCTGATTTCTTTAATTAATGTAAGACTATTGCAGTGTTCTTATTTTTTAGTCTGTTTAATTTAAAGCTTTCAAATGTACTGGCATACAAAAAAAGATAAAGCAAGAAGGGAGAGGTGTCTGGGTCACTCAGTTAGTTAAGCATCCAGCTCTTGATTTTGGCTCAGGTCATGATCTCAGAGTTGTAAGATCATGAGACTGAGCCCTGAACCAGACTCCGCTCAGCAGGGAGTCTGCTTAGGATTCTCCTTCCCTCTCCCTCTGCCCCTCTCCTCACTCACAGGCACACTATCTCTCTCTAATCAATAAAATCTTTAAAAAAATAAAAGCATGAGTTTTATGGTATGTAAATACCCCTTTATTTGCCAGTAAAACAAAACAAAAAGTAATAAAAATGTTTTAAGATGGTAATAGATTAATCAACCTCAAGAAAGCAGAATCCCATGCAAGCAGTGAGGAAATATTGAGAACAAAGCTGTTCTTCCCACATGGAGGTGAAAGGTGGGGTGCCAAAATAAGAAGGAGAATTGATACAAGGTCTGCTTAAGAAGCATTAAAAAAAAAAAAAAAAGCAATCAAATCACCGGACCTCCAGACAACTGCTACTCAGCCAGGCAATGGACCTTTCTCTCATCCTAGCCAACCCTAAAGGTTTAGCTTCTGGAGAGAATAAAACAAGAGCATGACTGGATGAACTAAGGATAACATCCTAAGAGGAAAAGCATTAAGTAAACACATAATGCTTGATGCTGAGGCTCCCACCTCTCCCTCAGGGCCTCTTTCCCAACCCAAAACGGGAGACAGACCTTCCTATTCCAGGCAGAAGACTGACCATTATTTCTCCAGGGACAGACAAGCAGAAGATACTCCTCAACCAAAAGAAAGACCCAACCAGATCACAACACTGAAACAGAGTTAGTAAGTCCTGCTCTGGCACAGAGAGCTTTGAATTTTAAGCTGCCCCTTCTCCCTTTAACATAAGTAGAGAACTACAGATTCCCAGACATCTACAGAATGCAGAAACCAAAGCAAAGAGAAAATCAACTCAGAGAACACAAATCCTATATAGGTAGAAGGCAATGACACATTAAAAATGTGTCATTCAGGGGTACTTGGATGGCTCAGTCATTAAGCATCTACCTTCGGCTCAGGCCATAAACCAGGATTATGAGATGGAGCCAGGCATGGGGCTCCCTGCTCAGCAGGAGGCCTGCTTCTCCCTCTCCTACTCCCCCTGCCTCTCACTGTCTCTCTCAATCTGTCAAATAAATCTTAAAAAGATTTTTTTTTCTTAAATGCATCATTTAGGGGCGCCTGGGTGGCTCAGTCGTTAAGCGTCTGCCTTCAGCTTGGGTCATGATCCTGGGGTCCTGGGACTGAGCCCACATCGGGCTCCCTGCTTGGCGTGAAGTCTGTTTCTCCCTCTCCCATTCCCCCTGCTTGTGTTCCGTCTCTCAGTGTGTCTCTCTCTGTCAAATAAATAAATAAAAATCTTAAAAAAAAAAAAGTCATTTAAATGAAATCTTGCCGTTTGCAATGACATGGATGAACCTACAGTGTATAAGGCTAAGCAAAATAAGGCAGTCAGGCAAAAACAAATACCAGATGATTTCCTTATATGTGAAATTTAAGAAACCAAACAAACGAACAAAGAATAAAAAAAGACAAAAAAAAAAAAGCAGACTTAAAAACAGAATAAACTGGTGGTCAACAGAGGGAAGG